ATAAGGGAGGAGAAGTGAAGGAAGGCCCTGGGTGTAGCGGGATGGTTTCCTGCCGCTGCTACATTGTATGGGAGGAGCTGACGTGGGAGGAGTGAAGAAAGAAAGGAGAAGGAAGAGGCGGAGCGAGGGGAAGATGGCAGCTGTTGTGCACGTGTCTCCAGCAGTCAAAGCTAGTTGTAATATCTAGGTTGGATATTGGGTAACACCTCTAATTGTGTGGCCATCTTGTTAATTGAGCATTACCAAATATATAAAGCCTTTGGTTAATCTTTAAACATTAGAGTCTCATTTCTACCGGGTACCACGTGGATGGCGGGATGGTCTGGGCTCAGCCAAACGTTCCGGAGACAGCGTGGGAGATTGGCAGAGCCATCTCACGATGGCGTCTCATGGGTGCAAGGGCTGGTGTTTCTGGTTGGCCTTTTCTAGCTGTGGTGCTTGTGTGGCCTCTGGCTGCGGAACATGGCCGCCACTTAGATAATCAGTCCAAGAAAACGCCGTTCTAAATTTTAACTTTAACACTTGTAGGCCACAAGAGGTCCTGAGTACATCTTGGAGCCAGAAGGGAATCTCACAGGTTTGAGCAAGGAGGGACAGAATCTGACTAGTGCTTGGTGCTTGGTGAGGCTCCCCAGGATGGCAGTGTCTGTTCATTTAGAACAAGAGAAGAAAGAGGAGGATGAGGTGAAGAGTCTTCTACAATAAGTTAAGTATGCACAGCCTGACTCTAACCATGAGCTTTACTATGTGCAAATTTTATGGTTATTCATTGTATGTATAAGTGTGCTTTGTCTGCACATATGTCTGTGTACCATGAATATGTCTGGTGCCCTTATAGACCAGAGAGATTAGATCCCCTGGAACTGGAGTTACAGACCCTTGGGAACTGCCTTGTAGGTGCTGGGAATTGAGACTCAAACCTGAGTCTTCTGGAAGAGCAGCGAGTGCTCTCGATCACTGACCCATCTCTGCAGCTTCCAGTTTATTTACATCTTTTAAAAAAAATAAATTAATAAAACTAGGCAAGTTAGCTTATGCTTGTAATCTCAACATTCAAGAGCCAGGAGACAATAAGTTGGAAACCAACTTGGACAACACAGGGAAATGCTGTCTTAAAAGCAAAGACTGGAGACGGTGAGCTGGTTTAGGGTGGGAATGTCATCTGCTGACGAACCTGGCTGCCTGGGTTGTGTGATCCCTGGAGGAGAGAACTGACTCCAGTAAGTTGTCCTCTGAGCTCCATTTGTGCCATGGCACATGCACAGGCGCACACACACAGAGAGACAGAAAGACACACACACACAGAGACAGACAGACACACACAGAGAGACAGACAGACAGACATACACACACAGAGACAGACAGACAGACACACAGACAGACACACAGAGACACACAGACACACAGAGACACACAGAGAGACAGAGGGACAGACAGACAGACAGACAGACAGACACATACACACACACACACACATGCAGACACTAAAAAAAAATGGGGAAAAAAGGCAGAAACAAAGAGTTGAAAATGCCTCATCAAACGCATTGCAGTGGATGGGGAAATGTTTGAATTTGGAGGGAAAAATCATTGTGATGTTCAAATGGACTAAAATGGCGGTGTGTGAAAAGAAGAGAGAAGTCAGAATGACTCCAACAGTGAGGGCCTTGCAGTGGATGACATGGAGGGACACAGGATGGAGTTGGAACCCCGTGTGGCTAGAAAGAGTTTCAAAGGACCAAGGAGTCTTTGCTTTTTGTTACGATCACTTTTTTTTTTTTTAAAGATTTATTTATTTTATTTATGAGTACACTGTAGCTGTCTTCAGACACACCAGAAGAGGGCATCAAGTTTCATTACAGATGGTTGTGAGCCACCATGTGGTTGCTGGGATTTGAACTCAGGACCTCTGGAAGAGCAGTCAGTGCTCTTAACCACTGAGCCATCTCTCCAGCCCCGTTATGATCACTTTTTAAGAACTGAGATAGAGGGCTGGAGAGATGGCTCTGCTGTTGAGAGTGCTGGCTCCTCTTGCAGAGGCCTCGAGTTTGGTTCCCAGCACCCATATTTGGCAGTTCACAACTTCCTGTAACTCCAGCTCCATGGGATCTGATGCCCTCTTCTGGTCTCCATGGGCACCTGCAGGCATGATGACATACCCACATACAGACACATAATTAAAATAAATCATTTTTTAAAATGAAAGAAAAAGACCAAAACGGCACATTAAAAGGAAGGAAGAGGGCTGGAGAGATGGCTCAGCGATTAAGAACACCAGTTAAGAGCACTGACTGCTCTTCCAGAGGTGCTGAGTTCAATTCTCAGCAACCATATGGTGGCTCACAACCATCTGTACTGTGATCTGATGCCCTCTTCTGGTGTGTCTAAAGACAGCTACAGTGTACTCATGTGCATTAAATAAATAAATAATTCAAGAAGAAGAAGAAGAAGAAAACAAAGACAAGATAGCAAAAAGGCAAAAGCAGATACAGACATTAGCCACCAAACCGAATGACCTGAGTTTGATTCTGGAAACGCAAAAGGCAGGAGAGAGCTGACTCCTGCAAGTTGCGTTCTGACCTCCTGCTGCATGCTGGAGCATCATGCAAACATACATACAAACACACATGCGTGACATTTTAAAGATATGTGTAATAGGGTTGGAGAAATGGCTCAGTGGTTAAGAGTACATATCGTTCTTGCAGAGGACCCGAGTTCAGTTCCCAGCACCTACATCAGGCAGCTCACAACTGTCTGGTAGGGTCAGCTTCAGGAAGCTGATACCTCTCTCACTTCCTTGGGAGCCCACACACACACACACACACACACACAGAGAGAGAGAGAGAGAGAGAGAGAGAGAGAGAGAGAGGGAGAGAGAGAGAGAAAAGTAAGTTTTTAAAAATTTAATAAATAAATAATTTTAAAACTTACAAAATAAAATGAGACAAATACATATATACTTCTTTAAAATATGAAGATCACAGGAAAAAAAAACCAACCAGGCAGTGGTGGCGCATGCCTTTAGTCCCAGCACTCAAGGAGGCAGAGGCAGGCGGGTCTCTGTGAGTTTGAGTCATGTGTCAACATTGCTCCTTTATCTGTTGTAGTTGTTGCTGCTAACAGCATTTATGTATGGACTTTCGCAGGTGTGAAACGCTGGGTCATATGTGACTGTAAATTTAACTCCATGAGCATCTGCTAACTTGCTTTCTGCAGAGTTGTATCATCCACATTCCAACAGCAGTGTAAGGTCCCAGTTTCTCCAGAACATCGGCATGCCTCGCTACGGTAATTTTTCTTATTATGGCCATCCAGTGGATATCAGTGGTATGTTGTTGTGGTTTTAATTTGCATTCCTAGGGGCTGGAGAAATGGCTCAGTGGTTAAGAGTACTTGGCTGCTCTTCTAGAGGTCCTGAGTTCAATTTGCAGCAACCACATGGTGGCTCACAATCCTCTGTAATGGGATCTGACGCCCTCTTCTGGTGTGTCTGAAGATAGCTACAGTGTATAAATAAATAAATAAATAAATAATCTATTAAAGAATTTACATTCCCTTAAGGACTAATGATATTGAATATCTTCTCATTTATTTACTGATTGTTTTCCTATCTTCTTTGAAGAAATTATTAAAATCCTTTGCTCAGTTTTGAACTTTTTGTCTTTGGCTTGTTACAATGTGTAGTGGTTTGAATAAAAATGGCCCCCACAGACTCATATATTTAAAAGCTTAGTCACAAGGAAGCGACACTCCTTGAAAGGATTAGGGTTAGGAAGAAGTGTGTTTTAAAGTTTTGAAAGTCCATGCCAGATCCAGGCTAGTGCGCGCGCTCTCCCTCCCTTCCTCCCTCCCTCCCTCCCTCCCTCCCTCCCTCCCTCCCTCCCTCCCTCCCTCCCTCCTTATGGATCAGGACATAGCTCTCAGCTGGTGCTCCAGGGCCTGCCTGCATGCCACCATGCTGCCTTCTGTGATGATAATAGAGTAAACCTCTGAAACTATAAGCAAGCCCCCAATTAAATGTTTTCTTTCAAAAGAGTTGCCTTGGTCATGGTATCTCTTCATAACAACAGAACAGTAACTAAGACAAAATGTCAGAATAGTTTTCTATGGTCTGTCTGGATACCAGAACCTTAACAAATACATGATTTCCAAACATTCCCTCCCTTTCTGTAGGTTATGCTTTATTTTAGTTCTAGATTGTTGGATTTAAGATGTTTTATTAGAGCTGATGATATGTCTTCATGGTTGGGAGCACTGGCTGCTTGTCTAGAGGGTCAGGGTTCAAGTCCCTGCACCCACATGGTAGCTCAGAACTGTCTGTAAGTCCAGTTTTAAGGAATCCAACCCTCACATAGACATATTTGCAAGCAAAGCACCAATGTACATGAAATAAAAATAAATAACTCATTTTTTAAAAAGTTATTTTATTAATAAAGAGATACATCTTGGGCTGGTGAGTGCATAAAGTGCCGCCATTTGGGCCTGGTGACCTGAGTTTGATCCCCAGAGAAGGCAACAGCTCTGGGTGGGAGGGAGTGTGGAGGAGAAAGAAGAGCCAGAGGAGAAAAACTATCAGAGACAAGGCCACAGCAAAGCGCAGTGTGGCTTCTGACAAGTAAGGGTCGTTTGTGGCTTTCTTGGGAATGCCTTTCTGACTCCAGGTAGGATTTGGTGCTCAATTCTGAGTGAGAACCGTTGACTAGCTGGTGTAGTGAATAAGGGAAGTGTTGTGGTAAGTTTCATTGGCTTAGAGGTCTGAGGCAGCCCCTCCCACATCCCTGGCCGACAATAGCCCTCTTCTCTCCACCCTTCACTCACTCACCCACATCCATCCTCAGGGACTCCCACTCCCACCCCCGAGTTCCTGGCCTCGTAAACTCTGGGGCTTTAAGGGCTGTCAGAAGCCGAGGAGGGCGATGATTGGAGGTTTATTCTAACGGGTTAAGGATGAGCTCATTCTTAGCCAATGGCCGGCAGGCGCCCGGCTAGACGCCCCGCCCCTGCCCCGGCACCTGCGGAAGGGTGGGAGGCACAGACCGAGCCTTGCAGAGGTGACGGTTCAGCGCAGGTGGGAAGGCTCGGAGCTCCGGCAAGCGGACAGGTATAGTATTTGCTCTGCTCTTCAGCCATCCTCCCAGGCGAGCGGGAGCCTTCCCCTCCCTGCCTCAGCCCGACCTCCTTGGACGTTCCCTGTAGTGATGCACCTTGTGTGCCGGGGAGTGCACGCGCTGCTTGATTGACAGGTGTAGTCTTAGGCATGCGGCTCCGAGAGATGGACCCGAAACCCGCAGCCCTGTGCAGCAGGCGTTGATGCCCCAGCACAGGCCTCGAAGCTACTTGTCCCGCTGGGCCTGGCAGAGTAGGAAGGCCGCTGTTCTCCATCTCCCGGCCTCATCTTTGGCCAAGACTCTCAGCTCCTGGCTGTATGTGCGTTTCCTCTCCACCTCTTCCTTTATCCTGTGTCGCTTTTCTTGCCGAGACGGAAAAGATCTGGGAAAAAAAGCTACTCCCTGGCCATTTTCCAGGGTACCCGGGACAGCAAAGGTGACTGCTAGGCTGCTGTGACAGACAGACACGCTGCTGGCTGCTCTCTCTTTGCCCCTTCCCCTCTGGCAGCTGCCACTCTTATCCCTTGAGCCATTGGGGTCACACATTGCTTGGAGAGGAGTTACTGTCAGGTCCTTGGGAGAGCGCACTGGCCTGTGGACTTCTGGGATAGCCTCCATAGGGCTGGGTCACCCTGACACTCTCATTGAACTCCACGTGAACTGGCATCTAATCTGTCAGTCACCTCATCTCCCAAGGGGCTTTGATGAGCTTTTCATTCCCAGCTTGGTGCCTGGGTAGTGGGGGAGGGGTGGTGCGGACGAGGGGGGTGGTCCCCCACTCACTGACTCATGACCTCTCAGGACCAAAGGTAACAATGTTTTGTCTGGGGGAGAGGTACCGCGGAGCTGAATGAAACGCCACAAGGCAGGCAGGGAGGAGGGGAGAAGTGAGGTGGGGGAGAGGTGATACCAGAAACTTTGAGCCAGTGTGTGTCTTCAGTATGTTTACCATGTATTTGACGCTGGGTTTGCTCTGTGGACACCCCTTAAAGGTAGCTGTGGGTCACAGGTATCCCCAGGTCTCCCTTCTCCGTACATACAGCATGATGGGAAGATACCTGTGGGGCTGAATTTGAATGGAAAAGAAAAGAAAGTCTCCCACTGGGTTATTCCATCATCACCACCCAGCTCAGTGGAGGGACCTTACCATCGCTCGTCCCTCCAGCCTTTGGATATAAATATCAGTCTCTCCAATGTTTAGGGAGGAGAGGCTGGAGTGCAGGTAGGGGTGTGGCTCCCAACACGTGCCTCCCTAACGCACTGCTTCTTGCAGGTCGAAGCAGCAGGCACACTATGAGCCTGGTAGCCTGTGAATGTCCACCTGGCCCAGGCCTGGAACCAGAGCCCTGTTCACGGGCACGGTCCCAGGCCTGCGTGTACCTGGAACAGATTCGTAACCGGGTAGCTACAGGGACAGCTGACGTGACCAAGCGTGACTACCTGGTAGACGCAGCTACACAGATCCGCCTGGCGCTGGAGAGAGATGTCAGTGAAGACTACGAGGCCGCCTTCAACCACTACCAGAATGGTGTGGACGTGCTGCTCCGTGGTGTGCATGGTGAGGGGTGTGTGTGTGCGTGGAAAGAAGGTGGACAGGACTTGAATTTATTAAGGCATTTCTACCTGGCAGACCAATTAGGTTTTAACTATATTAACTCATCTGAGTTTCCCATTAATAGTTACAAGTATATAGGAATTATTAGTATGGTCATCATTATCATTATTTGAGATAGGCCTTTCACTGTTGCCCAGGCTAATCTTCCTATCTCAGCCTCTTGACTGCTCAGGCTGTAAGTGTGTATAACTCTGGACAAGAGCTAATTTTCTTCTTCACTTTTTTAAATGATTCATTTGTTTATCCATTTTATGTGCACTGGTGTTTTGCCTGAATGTACAACTGTGTAAGAGTGTCAGGAACTGAATTTACAGACACTTGTGAGCTGCCATGTGAGTGCTGGGAATTGAACTCTGGTCCTCTGGAAGAGCAGCCTGTGCTCTTAACTACTGAGCCGTCTCTCTAACGCCAGCAGGAACTAATTTTCATAGTAATTTTCCAGGTAGAGAAATTAAGGCATGAAAAAAAGAAAAAAAGTAAGAAATTGAGGCACAGAGAAATTAAAGGGCTTGCTCAAGGCTACCACAGCTACCAAGGGGTACATCAGAAGGTGGAACTGTTTCAGCTCCTATGGCTTATGTACTTGGCCCACTGCATCTGGCTGGCCATGGCGCTGGACTGGGCAATGGCTCTCAGGAAATCGCACTCCGGAGGAGGGGGGCGGGGCTGACTGACAGCTAACTGGGTATGCAATTATAATCCTGGGTGAGAAGAGCAAAGAGGGGCAGGCGAAGGGAGAAAGGAGGAGACTCGGCGTCAGAGGAACCTAGCAAGGGACATCTTCTAGACATGAATGCTGACTGATGTATGCGTAAAGACCTCGCAGTGTTCCACAGAGAGGGAGGGAGGCCCAGGCTTATAGGGGAGAGGGAAGCACTGATCAGGGCAGAATGAGGCATTGCCATGCTAACTCTGAGAATCGAGGGCTATGGTGACCAGAGTCACCAGACTCACTGTTGAGGAGACCCTGCCATGTCCAGGCTTCAGGAGTGCCCGAAGCATTCCCTATCGGTCTAATCTGGTCTCCACCCTGGCCTTTTTCTTACTGGGAGGCAGAGATAGAGGAAGTATTGTCTTCTAGAACCTTCTCCTCTTCTGAAGGAAAGGAACACGAAAATCTCTACCTTGTTCCTTCCTAGGAAGGAACAGCCGGTGAGGTGTTGGGTACTGGCTGTAAGGAACGCGGCTGAGGGTGATGGTGGTTCCCCGTTTCCTCATGCATTTCTCTTCTCAGCTCCTGCTCTCAAACACAGAGCTGGGGATCGAACCAGCTAAAGCTGGCTGGGAAATAGGAGCCATCGGCTGTGATAGGCAGACGTAGTTAACAGAGTTGGCATCTCAGCCACCAGTCAGCCCAGGATAGAGGGTGGAGGACAGTCCTAGTGACTGCAGATGGTGACCCCCATTCCCCACAGTTGACCCCAACAAGGAGAGATGTGAGGCTGTGAAGCTGAAGATCACCAAGTACCTCCGGAGGGCAGAGGAGATCTTCAACTGCCACCTGCAGCGGACACCGGGGAGTGGAGCCAGCCCCAACACGGTGAGGAGGGCCTCCCTGGATCTCTGAGGAAGAGGAAGAGGACTCTGGGGATAGACAGCCACCCCCACAACCCTCACTCCCCTTCTGCCCCAGGGAAGAGTGGGCAGCGGAGGACGTGAGTCTGAGTGTGAGCCAGGGCGGCCCTCCCATCTCCCACACCCTCACGCCTCATTCAGCCTCACAGAGCACCTAGCATACATGACTTAAACACCCACCCCAGTTTGTGCGTGACTCCATGCCATTCTCACATGAATACACAGAGTCTCCAGATTCCGTTTCTGCTGAGTGAGCACAACACAGTTATTTGTAATGTGTATGTGTGTGTGTATGTGTGTGTACACAACTTTGCATCTAAAGCACCTCCTGTTGCTTTCCTAACCCAGTGGCCGACTGCATTCTCCATGCCACACCCCTCCTAGGCCTACGGTGTCCTGTAGCTTGCCTTTCACAAAAGTAGGCTGTCTGAATTGTGAGGCTGAGACACACATGTTCCCATCACAAACCCTGAGAGCATCTGCCTCTCATAGACAAGACTTTTAAAAAGGGGCTTCTAAAGCCCCTAGAAGCAGTCCTAATATGGCTGGGTAAGAGCTGAGCAAAAAGCCAGTGGGGTGCTTTGAACCAGTGAGACCCCAAACTCTAAATCTAGAACAGCTTAATTTGCTCACTCTGTCCTTGTGACGCAGGGTCTGCCTGGACCCCAAGTCCTATCCACGGTGGCCTCCCAGTACTCCGCTGACATCCAGAAACCCTGCCCACAGCCACAGCGGAGGTCTTGTCTCTCTTCTCTGCAGGGCTTCAGCAGCTTGAGGCTCCGGCCCATCCGCACACTGAGCTCTGCTCTGGAGCAGCTGAAGGGATGCAGGGTCGTTGGGATCATCAAGAAGGTGGGCAAACACTGGGGTGTGGGAAGGGAAGCAGACGTGTGCGGTCTGGGGTGGCGGAGGAGGGAGAGCTAGGATAGAAGGCATCTATAGTGCAGCCTGCATGGGGGTGGAGGGAAGAGGCCTCCATCGGAAGGAGAGAGCTTCCTGCATCGGAGGGGAGAGCTGCTTGCCTCAGAAGAGATAGCAGCCGGGTCCGGTGGCTCCTCTTCTCTCCCAAAATACACCTGCCAGGTTCTAGAGAGGAATAGGAGACTGCGAAGTTGCACACAGTCTGTTTACTGGCCAGCTCAGACAGAAAGCTCCCAGAGACTGTGGGAGGAGCTATGCTCAGGGAACCGCCCAGCCGTCGCAGCTCTGCCCATTTCCCACAGCCCACCCCGAGTGCCCCGAGGGTACGTTCAGCCAGGGCTGCCCCGAGTCTCCCAGCACACACAGCAGAGCATTTCCCGTACGGAAAGGTCCCTCTCTCCAGCCTGAGCAGTGGACATAGGCATTTCTTTGAGATGGCGTGAATCGTCCAGGGCCTTGATAGCTCTGCCCTTTCTCTTCTGGTAGTCCTGCCCTCATCCTGCACCTATTTTGCACCTTTTCCCTTGCCCTTAATCCAGAGTGGACATGGGGACAGGAGATGACATCCCAACCCCTATTTAAGTGGAGAAATCTGAGAGACAAAGATGTCATGTAAGAGTTGAGCCTCTATCAAATTGTCCTCTGCCTCTATCCCAGGGTTCCCTCAACAGTTCTAAGAGTCATCCACTGAGTTTCTCGAATGTAGATATCAGGACCCCATACCCAACCTGTGGAGTCAGAATGTCTAGGGTTGAAACCAAGAGTGTGTAAAGTACTGGGCAATTTTGATGGGTCTGGGAGCCCATAGAGAAAAAGAGCAGTGTGCCTCTCTGCCATTGTAGGAGGGCAGCATGCTGCCTGGGAAGCGTGCTCCGGGTTTGGCCCGTCAACTACGGACAAATCCCCTCACAGCTCTGAGAACTGGTTTCCTCCCCCCAAAATGGTGATCTGAGAAGGAAATGAAACAGTTTTTGGGAAAGGCCTGGCACATGCTAAGACACTTAATGCATGGTCGATGGCTCTGAGTGCGAGCGACCGGAGGGGGTGGGGTGGGGCTGAGCTCCCATCTCGAGGCCTCGCTCGCTCCAGCTGCTTCTCCCAGGTCCCTGGATCAGGCCCCAGGCTCAGGGAAGGTCCAGCCAGCTTCCCATCTGCTGCGGTCTCCCCTCCCACTGAGCTGCACAGTGGCCACGGGCTGACCTTGGCTAAGCACGGCTGCTCTCACAGACAGACTGACTGACACCATATCTCTGAGTGAGATGCCAGGTTTGAAGAGAGGTGCTCTGAACTGAATCCGTTTGGGAAACACTCAATGAAAGTTCCACCCCTGGTACTTTAGACATTCTCAGAGCTTTGGGGATGTGCTTATATAGGAGGAGTCCTCAAGAGGAAATCTGTGAGAGAAATCTCTGATTTGTTCAACCCAGGGACATACACATGTGCATTGCGTTTAAACCTTAGTGCCCTGAGGCCTGTGCAGGGGGAGAAGACACATTAAGATGTTTAGGTTGCCGCTTTCCTTTTTTATCCTCCCTTACATACTCAAGTGGTGAAAGTCAGCTCCCCCCTAGGGTCTTTCTTCCTCCTCTTGGTTATGTCCCAGCCAGAGACAGAAATTTCTCCAAATTAGGAAAGGTGTTAGAGCCATCAGTCCCATTCCACAGCTCTGCCCAGGCAGATCCAGGCAGCAGAACTGTGCTAGTGCCTGCTAGTGGCCACCCTCAGGCCCGGGAAGGGGGCCAAGAGCTTGCTCAGGCCAATCCTGGGCCCCTGAAAGGTTTTGGCTATGGGGCAGACAGGACTGCAGAAGAGCTGGCAGGGACAGAGGTGGCAGGGAACAGTGAAGTGGGCGTGTGAGGTGGGCAGCCAGGACACCTGGGGGCTATTGTCAGTGATTATCCCACCTTCTCTGGACCTCCTCAGAAAGTCTGAACTGGGCATGAGGAAGAAAGGCCTTCTGAGTTGCTTCTTGTTTTATTTGGCTCAAATACAGGTTTTGGGCTTCTGGTTGTAGTAGTTGTTGTTGTTTTGTTGTTACAAACATTTTCAGATTTGTAGATTTCATAGGAAAGTCCACATGTCCAGCTTCTCCTGGAAAACAAAAATCAGATCTTGAGATGTGAGGCTCACATTGCCACGTAGCTCTGGGGAGCCAAGCAGGAGCTGCCCACTTCCAACGGAGCACTGGCCTTGCCCGCTCTCTGTTCCAACGTTGCTCAAGTGTATCTTCCCCTCTAAGCCTTTAAGAACCTGTTTGACCTGGGCAGGGCATGATAGATACCTTTCATCCCAGCACTCTAGAGGCAGAAGCAGGTAGATCTCTGTGAGTTCGAGGCCAGCCTGGTCTACATAACAACTTCTAGGTCAGTCAGGGCTTATAATAGAAAAACCGAGTCTTAAAACCAACCAAACAAACAGAAATCAAGAACACTTTTGAAGCTTTGGGGTTTGCCTGCTCCAAGAGAGGTTCCACCCAGGATTTAGATTCCCCGTGTGTCTTTAAAAATAGGCCTTATGGGGGCTGGAGAGATTGGTTAAGAGCACTGACTGCTCTTCCGAAGGTCCTGAGTTCAATTCCCAGCAACCTCATGTTGGCTCGAAACCATCTGTAATGGGATCTGATGCCCTCTTCTGGTGTTTCTGAAGACAGTGACAGTGTACTCACATAAAATAAGAAAATAAATAAAATGTTAAAAAACAAACAAACAAACAAACAAACTAGGCTATATCACCAAAGGTGTATCTTAGTGCCCCAAGAACTCCCATGGACGCTCCAGTGAGCCTCCTATTCCTGCTCAACACTGGTGCTTTCTTCATGGTGCAGAAGATTTGAACCCAGGTCTCATACTTCCACAGTGAGCACTCTTGCCCACTTAATCATTTTCCTAGCCCCTTGGGAATGTATTTGTGTGTGTGTGTGTGCACATGTGGACACACTCAACAGTGACCACAATTTCCTTCCATCTTCCCAATTAGAAGCTAACCTCCCATTTGTGGATTAATTACATTATAGTGTTCTGTGTCTCAGTTGCTTGGGCTCCGCCACCGCTGGGGTTGGTGGCTTCCCCATTGTACAGGGCAGGACCACATCTCTGTCACACAGGAAGCTGCGCTTGGCGGTGCTGTATTTTAATAATCACCCCTACTTCTTAGCATCTCATGTAACCCAGGATGACCTCAAACTTGCCGCATAGCCAAGGATGGCCTTGAACTTCTTATTCTCCTGCGTTCATATCCTGAGTACTGGGATCTATATCACTATTCCAGGTTTATGCAAGGGTGAGGAGCAGACCCAGGGTTCCCTGGGGGCTGTGCAAGCACTCTCCCGACTGAAGCACATCTCCAGCCCCTTAACAGTTATCTTAAGAGAGTGCAACTAAAATCCAAGAAGGTCAGGTGTTGGCCACTGTTCTGTTCCCCCAGGCCACTTTTCAGAGGGAGAGGATGTGTGTGCCTGGTTGGTTAGTTGTATCAATGGGAAAAGCCTCACTCTGCTAGAAGTATTCTGAGAGAGTGGTGAGTTTAAAACAAGAAAAGAAAAGAAGGAAAAGAAATCAATTCACGGGCTGGAGAGATGGGTCAGTTCCAGAGGTCCTGAGTTCAATTCCCAGCAAACACATGGTGGCTCACAACCATCTGTTAGGAGATCTGATGTCCTCTTCTGGTGTGTCTGAAGACAGCTTCAGTGTACTCATATAAATAAAATAATCTAAAACAAAAACAAAAAGACACTCGTAAAAAAAAATTAAAAAAAAAAAAAGGAAGAAGAAATCGATTCACCACCTTACCTAACTTCAGAGTGATTGTTGTTAATGTTTAGGTCTAATTCCTTCCAAAAGAAAATGGGCTTTAATATGTTTTGAATACACAGGTTTTTGACGCATGGGTCCTCTTTACTTTCTGGTTCCCCTCCTTAACTGAGTTTTCAGACTGTAAATCAGAGAACTTGGCTAAGGAGGTGGTGGCGGGGAATACCACTTGGGAGGGATGGTGGGGAACTATCTGGCGGGTGGGCAATGCTTGTGGGAATCTTTTCCTAAATGACCCCAGTGTGTTCTGCCTCTGTCTTCAAACATTGCACAAGCTTGGTCCGGAGCCAAGGCCGCCTGAGTTAGGTCTCTAGCCATTAGAGGGAGACCTCTAGTGGTCAAAAGGGATACTGCTGCTCTGGTGTTGGTGCCCTGGTGTAGGAAGGATGCGTGGGGTGAGCCCAGCCCCCTGCTTTCACTTTACTGATCACACACTGGAGGTTAGATGGTGTAAGAAAGGTCCCCTGAGCAGGAGCCCAGAGAGCACTAGACATAGGGTAGGAGTCCCAGATGCTGGAGGAAAAAGCACCAGAGCTTGGATGCTTGGGTATAGTAAGGGTAGATTACCAGGACAGAATGGATGTTGGCCTCAGGGCACGGAAAGCCCAGGAACTAACACATATCTTGACCAGTGCCTCCTGAACTTTGGCAGGTGCAGGTGGTCCAGGACCCAGCAACCGGAGGGACCTTCGTCGTGAAGGCAGGTGCTGCCCAGCTGCTGCCATGCTGTTACTCTTGGGAACTTTCTCAGAGCTCTTGAGACCCCCCCATCCGCCCCACCCGCAGAATGTGCATATGATGGCCATGCTCCTTCGAAAGCCCAAATCTGCCCGTTCCTCTGAGCACTGCCCAAGGCTCCAAGACTGACACGCATGCGCAGTGTCTCATCCTTGTACATGGCTTCCCTAGGATTACAGGGGTGAGGGCTGGGCCAGGAACTGGTGGGAGCAGATGCTACTCGGCCTGGCTCCCAGTTCATATCCTAGTGTCCTGAAGCCAGAGCGAGGGCAATATCAGCTCATTTACATACCCCGTCCCCTCCCCCAGAGCCTTCCCAGGTGTCACATGGTAAGCCGGGAGCGGCTGACTATCATCCCACATGGCGTCCCTTACATGACAAAATTGTTGCGATACTTCGTGAGCGAGGACTCCATCTTTCTGCACCTGGAGCATGTGCAAGGTGAGGCCATTAATTAATTAATTCCTCTGAACTTTGGGGTCTTACTGTTCTCCCCAACTCTGAGGAGGATTGTGGCTCGCTTCACATGTGTGGCACAGACAGGGAACTCAGAGTTTCTAAAGGCTGAGGGCAGGGCCAGGTTGCTGTGGAGCTCTGTATGGTGCTGAGGGAGCAGGAGACATCCTGGGGAGGATGTCTCCATCCCAGGCAGGTGAAGGGGAACATTTATTCAGCTGTCTTCTATGTTACCATTTCCTCTAGTCTTGGCTTTCCTGGTCAGTGCCCATTCCTGAATGACCACATGCTGATGACTAAAACTGTCAGCTATTTAGTGATTCTGAAATGTGAGGTGCATCTTTGGGTCGCGATGTGGTCCCTGTAAATCCATGCGGGGCCTCTCCCTTTTGTGAGGAGGAAGTGTAACATGTTGAACACTGGTGTTCAAACAAACGCAATCCAAGTTCACCAACAATCAGATATGCAGGCTGTGAAGCTGAGCTCCCTGTAGGTGGGTCAGAGCAGGGTGATCAGATCACTGAGGAGGCAGAGGGGGCATGATAAAATGGAGGGAAGGTAGGACCGGGCCTCGAGCCTCGGGTCCGAGCTCTTCTTCCTACACTCTCACTCCCTCTTTGGCCCAGGAGGCACTCTTTGGTCATATCTACTCTCCCAAGCCCACTTTCAGTCCTCTGGGCTCAAGTCTGGCTCTGTCCAGGAGAAGTCGAAAGCCCAACTCAGCACCGGTCTCAGCCTCATGACCTCAGCAAAGATCCCACCAGGCCACGCCCTGAGGTGGGGCAGAATCCCAATGGAGCCTCCATGGACTTCCCAGAGCCTTCCCCCAGCCCTCCAGCTTCAGAAAGAGGCTGACGTTGAACCTTCATCCAGGACCTGTGCTGTCTGCTCTTCAGACCTCACAGAGGCCCCGTGTGGCCACTTCCACAGTCAAGTCAGGCGAGCTGGTCAGAGTTTGAACCCAGCACCCACTCAGAGGCTCCACTGGGTACGAGAAGGGGCTGACCGGGTGCTAGGGGCCTATGGCCGAGGCAGGGGTCAGAACTCCTCATCAGCAAACCAGGCCAGCCTGGGGAGCCGAAGAGCTGCCTGGAGCCTGAGGGAGGGTCAGGTGAAGCAGTGGGCAGCTGAGATGCTGCTGGCCCTGGAGGCGTTACATCAGCAAGGGGTGCTGTGCCGGGACCTCAACCCACAGAACCTGCTCCTGGACCAGGCAGGTAAGAGCCTCAGCCTCCCTGCTCCAACCCCAGTCCTTGGGTGGGAGCCCAGAGTCAACAAGAACCCCCAAGATTATAAAGCTACGTGCTGCTCCCCCCCACTCCTTCCTTCATCTATTCCTTTCAAGAAGACATGAACCTGGGGTGGGGTGGGGCAGCTTCAGGACCACCCCTGGGCCCTGGACAGCAAGGGGCCACACCCTTAGGGAGACTCCACCTGGGATGACCTTTGGCCTCTGACACGATTGTGTTGGGACTGCCTGGAGATTCCAGCTGCTCAAAGATGCCACTTTCAACCTCTGTCCTGCCATTCCTCTCTGCACAATGCACAAGGTCACATCCAGCTCACGTATTTTGGCCAGTGGTCAGAAGTGGAGCCCCAGTGCAGCCAGGAGGCTGTGGACTGTCTGTACAGTGCTCCAGGCAAGAAGGGAGTTGGGGGAGGTTTCTACATCTTGGCTGCCTTTGCATGGGTTAAAGCCGGGATAGGCAGCAGGTGCTAGAATGAGAACAGAACGGGCCCTTCTGTGAGGTGGGGATGTATGTGTTCTTGTTCTTGCAGAGGTTGGGGGCATTTCTGAGCTGACTGAAGCCTGTGACTGGTGGAGCTATGGGTCACTTCTGTATGAATTGCTCACAGGAATGGTGAGTAGCTGGAAAGGGAGAGCATAGAGTCCTGGTGGGGACCTCTGGGTTTAGGCTGAGCAGAGGCTTAGCCAGCCAGCCAGGGTCAAAACAGAGGCTGCCTGGTTCTTTATGCCTGAGCACTGGGCTGGATGTCCTTCCACCCGTCAGACCACCGGCAATAGAATTCCTACCACATGAGGACCTGTGGCTAAGGAGACTTGACAGCTTCTATGAATTATATGAGTTGACATAACCAGAGGTTTATGGAAGAGCATGCGTGGCCTGAGGTTTGGAGAAGCCTTTCCCTGGAAGCCTCTGGATTATAACCTAAATCTCTTTCCTACTATCCAGCCCCCCTTACCCTTCAAGGCTATATAATGCCTAGACCTCAACTTGAGATGGGAGAAGACCCCTTCATCCATGTCAGCCGTTGCCTTGTCAGCCGGGTCAGCCAAGCCCACTCGCAGGCTGGGGAGGTGTTCAGTTGAGAAAGCGCCTGCTCATGAAAACTTGAGTCTGATCCCAGCAACCGTGTGAAAGTCTATGTGATGACCATGCACATCTGTAACACTGAGGGTCTGGGCTGAGACAGCAGAGTCCCAGAGCTTGCTGGTCAGCCATCGGATTCACTGAGACCCTGATCAAAATTAGAGAGTAATAGAGGAAAAACTTCAACCTCCAGCCTCCACATTCACACACATGTGTGCACACATGCACACATATACACATACATACACACGCATGCACATACATACACATACATACACACATATATACATACACACACACACACACACACACCACCCACTTGACAAGGCTTTACACTCTACTCAGATGAGCTCAGACCGACATGTGGGGCCAGTCAGGTTGGGAAGCAAGAGAGAGGAGAAACTCCATTTGAGCAGGAAACAGTTTGAGTGGCACCAGAAGACTACGGTGTGAGCAACCTAAAGCCAGCCCTGCCATGCCTTTGCTGGTCACAACTCAGGGTCTCTGAGAACTCCCCTGCCTCTTCTTGCAGCTCATCCTTATCTCAGGAGACTTCTGCTTGTCATCACATTCCTGCCTCGGTCTCGGTGGCTGCATGGCAGGTCTGCCATTGCTTATGTAGCTTGTGGAGACTTAAGAAAAAAAAAAAAAAAGTCTAGTGCTGTCCCCAATAGTGTCTACTCTATAAAGACAATGGTTCTAAAAAGCTGCAGGTTCCAACCCCAATGCTAACCCAAGTACCTTTTTCCCTGAGCCAGCTTCCTTAGTGTCTGGGGTCTAGCTCAGTCTGAGTTATTAGTAGATCCTAGCAAAAGGCAGCTAACAAGATCTTCCTCTAGGACTGTTATGTGTGTCTGTGTGTGTATGCGAGTGCAAATCTTGGCTGCCGTTAGAGTGTAAACTTCCCTAAAGTGGCCTCTCCTTGTGTCCCCCACCTCTCCAGGCACTGTCCCAGAGCCACCCTTCAGGATTCCAGGCCCATACCCAACTCCAGCTGCCTGAGTGGCTCAGTCGCCCAGCAGCCTCTCTGCTGACTGAGGTGATGTTCTTGCTGCTGGCTTATTGGTATATGGGTGGGGATGAGAGGAACCTCCTGTACACGTTAATGTTAATTCATGTTGGAAGGCATAAATGCCCAGGAATGTCTGTGCTAGCTACCACCAAAGTCACGGGGGAGGGACTTACTGGGTTAGGAAGGAAAGAGCACCCTAGGGATTTTGGTGATAGTAGCCCCAGGAAGTGGGTGTCTCCCTCCAGGATGGGGAAGGGCAGCAGAGTGATGATTGAATCTCTCCCCACAGCTGTTGCAGTTCGAGCCCCAGCGGCGCCTAGGTGCTGGAGGTGGTGGCACCAGCAAACTCAAGTCCCACCCCTTTTTCAGTACCATCCAGTGGAGCCGGCTAATGGGGTAAGAGGAGGGTAAGTGGACAGAACAGCCGGCCCAGTTCTCTCTCGACTGTCTGTCAGCTGGGCTGGCCCCTCTCATCAGTGGACTTCAGGGGAAGAATGTGGGGCAGCCACTTTTTCTGCTCACCACCTGCTTAGGCCTCAGACCGAGGACTGCCACAGCCCTGGAGAAGCTGCGGGAAGGGCTGTGAGGTGGACCCTGTGAGCAACCTACACTCATCGGTCAACAGATACGTGTTGAACCACCTTGTACCTTTAGCTGGGACCTATCATGTTAAAGGGTGCCTTCTGTTGCTCTAGTTCCAAACTGCTCAACACTTGCCGAGTCAAATGACGAATCTGGGGACACTGCTGCCATTTGTGCACCACATAGGGCATCTCTGGAGACATCTCAGGACACTGAACCTCTGGCTCAGTAGACCCAAACCAGGACTGTCCTTGGTCCACTTTAGTCACACAACCAGAGGCTGTTCCTACTGTGGTCTGGGTGCTAGGAGGGTGGTTAGTCTGTAGGGTGAAGTGGGGAGAGGTGGGGCTTAGGGTCTCCACTCCTGACCCTTAACTTGATTACTTACTTAGGAGAAAATCAAGGAGAAGAGAAGCCAGTGGGGTTAAGAGCGGGCTAAGAATGCGGTTGTACCACTTAGACGGAGTTGGAAAACAGAATAAAGTGCTTTATTCTTTGGCTGGCTCTCCTGTGTCAGAAGAGCTTGCTTCACAGGACCAGTAGTCCATTCTTCTCAGGTGTTGGTTGTTTCCCACTCGGTTGGTTGTTTTGGTATGAGCTTCTATTTCTACTCAATGCACTGCCTGTCGACTTTTAGAATGAGTTACCACAGACCATATGGATCAACTTTACCCAGTGCCTTTAGACATGTATTTCTGGTCTCTGAAGTAAGTGGTATCTCAAAACACAGTCCCCTTTCTGGGTTTGAGGGCTTGCCTCAAGACAATCCAGCCGCTGGGGTGTGGCACATGCAACAAAATTTCACTTGACCAATCCCCAGATTGTGTATGCGTGTGTGCGTGCATGCCTGGGGTTTGTCTACCCTCTAATAAAGCCTCTTCTTTCTGTGGTGTCCTTGCGTCATTAATATAGTGAACGTGGCCTGGAAGGAAGCAGCCTGAGGAACAGCCTCAGAAAGGGGAGGAAGGAGAGGAGACAGACACCTGAGCCAGTCACGGTGCCTGAGGAACTCATGGAAGGTTCTTCTGAGAAAACAGAGGTTCTTGAGAGGTTAACCTAGAACCTGCTAGAGTTGTCTCATAAGTGTAGGTTTCTTCTTTGGTAACCCACAATACCAGACAACTTTGGCCACTGTTCTATGGAGTACAGGTCACTTCCAGGCTTATCTAGCCAATACACTGTACTTCTGGCATTCTGTTGAGCGATCAGTTTGGAATACCATGGTCCCAGCTCTGACAGGGCTTATGGATGGCCTTTCAATAAAATAAAACATCTACTCCAGAAGCTTAATGGAAAATTTAAAAACTTGCAGCATATCAAACACTAGACATGATGTATAATTCACTGAACTCACCTAGCAGCTGCAATTGCTCAAGGACCCCACCTCTTCCTGGGACAGGCCACCAGAGGGAGGGCCTCACTGCAGACAGGATAAGCAGAGGAGAGGAGTGTGGGAAAGTAAGGCTCTACTCCGTCATGCCTACCCACTGGTCCTTCTGGGTCATTCTGGGCTGGTGAGCAACCCTGTCCTGTCCTCTGCCCCTCACATACCCACTGCTCCTAGGAGACGGTCCTCACTGTCCATCATAACCAGTCACGTGCTTAGAATGGTGCACACGTGGCAAACAAGTCCAAATGGTATTAGGGGTGTCCGTGCCTCCCCACTCTGTCTTAAGAGATTACGCGAGTCCCTCCTGGTGTTTGAAGGGGCTTCACATAAGTGGGAACCACAATTTCTCTTCAAGAGTTGGTTTGTCAGGGCCATGGGGCTCCCTGAAAGGAACCCGGGACACTGGGACATTAGTGGGCTCATGGCTGGCTGTTGAAGTAACATGTCTAAAGTATGGGATGGGGGGCCTGGTGTGCTGCTCAGAGAAAAGAATATGCAAACATCCTGGGTTCCACCAGTAGCTCCATCAAGACAGCCAACTCAGGATGAAGTAGCTTTCGATGATAGTGACATTGTGATTGGGACTGTACAGCCTCAAGGGTCAAAAGAGCACAGACCCTGGAGCCTTGTTTGAGAACAGTTGCCCTTTAATTTTCATTCAAAATCAGTCTCTTTAAATACTTGAGTTACAAGTTCTGAATGGTGTAGATGTAGTAGCAGATGCTGCAGGCACTCAATACTGACCTCTTCCCCTCCCCCCAGCATGTCTTGGATTACAAGAAAAAAGGGAATTCAGCACTAATGACCCGCGTTGACTGTCAGCAGACTCAGGCTGAGTGTGGCATACAGGCCTAGGAGCGTTCATGACCAGCTGAACATTTTACCATGCGTCAAGAATATTCCAACAACTGCACCTGTTCCTGAAGGGTGATCTCAGAGATGACATCATTTCTTCACTGTCCTAACTCCTGAGGCTGGTTCCCACCAGTCCATCCTCTCCGGTGTCTGTGTCCTGCACCAGAGGCACCAAGACCCTGTTCCCCACAGGCCACATCCCAGGAAGGGAAGAACGGCCTCTGCCAGCACATGCTCACACCACCCTCAATTCAGAAGCTCTCATCAGCCTGATCTGGTGAGAACAGTCCCTTCACCAGGCTGTCCCACTGCCATGATGTGCTAAACTCTGCTTTAAGTGAGAACAGTGATTCCTAGAGGCTGGAAAGGGTTGGTATGACAACAGTTGCACGTAATTATGCCAAAAGGAATCAATCTTCCCAGTGCCAGCATACGATGGAGCCTGTAAGGGCAAGGCAGGGTTCAACTCCTATCTGTGATCATAACAGGTGACCTCAGGGGATGCTGCACAGTTCTGCCTGTCCTCAAATCCCCAGCCTGTGCTGCCTGGAAGAGGTAGAGAGGCACCTTGACGCCACTGACAGGTCAGAATGACGGTGCATTTAAGAAGCAGAGCAGCACCTCTTTGCCTGTGTCCAATACCTCCACACAGGTGGCATCAAGTGAGAACGTGCACAGCTGGGACAGAGGCTGCTTTGAGCCCGGGAGGCAAATCATCCCCCAGGCATCTCTGGAGAACATTTTCCAAAGACAGAGATTTGAATCACATGGTCCCTGGTGGTACCCCTATAGTTACTGTTACTGGAGAGAAGCAGAGTTGTCTTTGCAGAGGACTGGAATAAAGGCAGGAATATTAATGAGCAGTCATCCATTAAGGCTCTCTCTCAGGCCCAAGACAGGGGACGGTAAGAGTCACACAGAGAAGAGCCTAGAAGGAACACTAAGAAAAGGCTGTGAAAGATGCTTACGTAGTGCCCTGGCTTCCTCGCTTGAGGCCAACAGTGTGTGCCTGCCTGTCATCAGGCTAACCTGGGATTGATGAGGGGACAGGGAGAAGACTGGTTTTCAGTTCCTGCATGATCACTAGGTGGGGTGTGTGGCTTCCTCCTAAAGGTCTAGGAGGAGGACTCTTGGATCTTCTACTGCTGCCTTGATTTTTCGGAGGAAGGTCACAGCCTCTCTGCCATCAATCAGCCGGTGGTCATAGGTCAGGGCTACATACATCATAGGTCGAACTTCCACCTGCAGAGAGGAGAGGTCAATAGATCTGTATATCCAGTGGATCAGAGAAAACGCCCTGCTGAGGGAAAGAGGTGTGAAAGCAAAGACCATACCAAAGGCTTTCCTACCAGTGCTGCCTCTGGGTAACTTAGGTTCTTTCTCTTTCATGCAGAGCTCTTCAGTTGTGGCTGCCTGTAGGAACTACTTTGAAGTTACAATCTTTATTACTAGTATTTCTGCACTGTGTAGATCCAACACTGGGCCTTGTGTATGCTGAGCAAGCACCTTACTACTAAGCAACACCACCGTCTTGAAGTTACAATTTAAAAACTGTATTTTATTTGTTTTTGGAACGGGTCTCGTGAGGCTGTTCTCAAGCTTACTATACAACCACAGAAGACACCAAGCCATTGGTCCTCTGGCCTTTGCTTCCTGATGCTGGAACCACAAGCATGTACTGCCATGCGGGTTTGTCAAACTCGGGGCTCTGAGCATGCGAGGCAGACACTTTACCACGGCTCAGCATCCCCTAATCTGAGGAGGAAAAACTAACCTTGAGTTTAAATCTTCTGCTATCTGCCAGCATCTTTAATCTCAGTGCTCAAGAGGCGGAGGCAAGCAGACCTCTGAGTTCAAGACCAGCCTAGTCTACATAGATAATTCCAGGACAAATAAGCGACATAAAAAAAACCCCTATCTTGAAAGTCCATGAGTAAAAAAATAAGTCTGTTGTGTGTAGCTGTTTTCCAAGAAAAAGACTGATGAGTTTTGGATTTATAAAGGAGTCAATGACCCAGAAACATTCTAGACACAGAAGTCTGAGGACATTTTATTTTTTTTTAAACTAACTTATCTTCCAATAGCTAACTCAAGCCCTTTGGCCTCCCTCATACCTTGAACTCTCAAAAAACTTACAAGCTTCTCATACAGTTCTGTAGCCCACAGAATGCTCCGCACTGTACCCTGTTTCCCAGGGTCAACTCTACCCATCTCTGACTCCCCGAGGTGCTCTGACAAGGTGTCAACAAGTCCTAGAGGAAACTTAACATGCATCAGAACTGTGCATTTCTGCTTCAGTAGATTGAATGTGTATGTGTGTGTGTGTGTGTGGGGGGGGAAATGTCTAAGAATTTACTTTGAAAAAAGAAATTATGGGCTAGAGAGATGGCTCAGCGGTTAAGAAGCTCACAACCATCTGTAATGGGATCCGATGCCCTCTTCTGGTGTGTCTGAAGAGAGCGACAGCGTTCTCATACATAAATGACTACTTAATGTGTATGAGAATTTCACCCACACATGCATGCTTAGTACCCATGGAGGATAGAGGAGGTGCCTGATACCTCAGAACTGGAATCACTGATGGCTGCAAGCCACTCTGTGGATGCTGAGAACTGGATCTAGTTACTCTGCCAAGAGTAGCAAGTGCTCCTAACTACTGACTCATGTCTCCAGCCAGATGACATCAATCTCCTCAGATCAGTTTGAGAACCAGTACCTTAACTATCATTTAGTAATTAAGAACTGAAGCGTAAGTCTGAAATGACAGTGGATGCTTTATCATAAGGATTTGGTTAGGTTTCTCTCTTCAGCCAGCCATTCAGCGACTAAACATCTCAGCGATAGTGGTTCTTACCTTGCCTCCCACAGCCACAGGCCTGTCAAAGATCCCATGCATGCCCAGAATGGCAGACTGTGGGGGGTTGATAATGGGTGTTCCAAAGAGCGAGCCAAAAACTCCTCCATTGCTGATGGTGAAAGTGCCTCCATCCATATCTTCAATGGCAAGCTCGTTCTTTCGGGCCTGAGAACAAGAAAAATTAAGTCAAACCAGGTTTCTTTGCTCCAAAACAGTAACTCTAGAAAATTCTTATCTGAGATCGGAAGGGCCAACTCCAGCAAACAGGACAGTGGCTCGGCTAAGGTGACTACCTTCAGAGAAACCGTGACCCTACGATCAACATTTCTCTCCCCAGAAGACTCTGAACGGAGGGATTTCAATCACTGGAGCATTTGAGGCTCTGCCTGATGCCTCTCCTTAGAGCTCATGTGACACTGCTTTGCTGGGAGGCTATGTAGTCCCTAGAGGACCAGACTCCAGAGGCCCGAGCAGCGCCAGCGTCTGCAGGATTTGTTCCCTCAACTGCCCCGCAGCGCACGTGCACACTTCCGCCTACTGTACCTTCTCTCCTAGTTCATTAATGGTCCGTTCAATATCTGCATAATTCATGGTTTCCACATTCCTGATGACAGGAACCACGAGACCCTGGAGAGAAAAGTTGTTTTAAACTGCAAATGACAGTACTCTTTATAGTTACAATTTCCCCAGCCAGAACACCTTAAACTCACTGTGATTAAAAAGATTTATAGTAAGATAAAGGAATGTGGTATGGTTTTTAAAAAAAAAATGTACTTTTACTAATGATCTCCTAAAAATACAGAATTATAGAAATAACCCCTTCCATATGATCATATTTTTAATATAAATAAGGTAAGATCTGTGGCGGTTTGAATGAGAATGGTCTCCACACGATCATATATTTGAACATTTGGTCTGAAGTTGGTGGAACTGTCTGGAAAAGATTAGGAGGTATGGCCTCCTTTTGGAAGGAGGTGTGTCGCTGTAAGCAGGCTTTAAGTTTCAAAGAAGCCATGCTATTCCCAGTTAGTTAGCTCTTTCTAGTGTGTGACTGTCTCTCAGCTACTGCTCCAGTACCATGCCTGCTGCCACTTGTGTTGTACTGTGATGACAACTGACTCTTAACCCTCTGAAACCGAAGCCCACCCAATACTCTTTCTTCTGTAAGTTCCCCTGGTCCTGGTGTCTTAGCACAGAAATAGACATAACTAACACAGGATCTAAGCAAGCACTTCCAACTCTTGCCCCAACATACCCTCGGGGTAGCAACTGCAACACTGATGTCAATATAATCTCTGTACACCACTTCCTTGGTTGCATCATCAATCACTATGAAAGAGAAAACACACGTTACATACAACGCTCTTGGCCAAGGCTCAGAAGTTAACAGAGTAAAAGTCTTCAGTGGTCAATGCAGTGTCGGATGACTAATCAACATGAAAATAACTACAAGTAACTGACACTCTCCTGGCTCCCATCCCGATTCATACCAGTATTTCCCAAGCTTCTGAATCAACCTGAACGTAGGAGCATGCTGTTCCACAGCTCACAGAAGGTGCACACAGTAGAAGCATATTAACGGCTTATCTATGCAAACCTTCCCTGAGCAGAGAATGGCTAGATATCAAGTGCTCTGTAAAAGGCAAAGGAGGGTGTAGGATGCTGCCCATCTACTCTCTCTAGAGATCCAAGCGGACGTGAAAGAGGTCTGGCTTTTAAATATACCATCTTAAAACAGAAAACCAATTGCTGAAAACTGTACCTACCTATAAGAAAAGCAGGCTTGGGAATCTTCCAAAGAGTCTACGCTGGATTGTTAGAGTACATGTCAAGTGAATGAGAACTCGGAGAGAGGCCAAGAGCAAAGAAAGCCCTCCTGTGAGGGCTAGCACCTAGAGCTCAGCACCCAGTGGAGGAGAGACTAGGGATTCTAGGCTGAGAACTGTAAAGTGTCACTGTCCCCTCTCCTATCTTCCAAGGAACACAGAAGTACCTCAGTACGAGACAACAAGAACCGTAAGATAGATCAACACTTCCACACCGAGAGGGAGGAGAAAAGAAAGTGAGAACGAGCCCAAGCCTCCCCCGAGGCCCCCAGCCCAAAGACAATGGGCAGCCCGGAGCCTATGCCACACATCAAAGTCAAGCCTCCAAGTAAAGGGCACATGGTGGGGGCGGAGCAGCCAGAACCTGAGACTGCCTATGATACGAGACAGCCTTGGAAGCTGGACTATCCCAGAGCTGCCTACTGCCAGAGCAACTGCCAAGCTACACAGTGCGGGAAACCTTTTGTCCACTTGGTACAGAGAAAGTAATCATGTTAGTATTTGGTGAAGGTGATCATGTTTCCACAGATTGTGAATAAAAAGCCTTGGTGACTCCTAAATGTGACAGCAGGTCTGTATTCAGACACTCAGCTCCAAAGATCTTTGCCACACTGGTCTCAAGAGACTTACCTGCATTTACAACAGGCTGCTCCTGCAAGGCGAAAGCAGAGGCCTTCACAAACGCTGACATGAAGCCTAATTTGAGGTTGTGTTTTTTCAGGAAAGCATCTTTGTGCCGAGCTCTCATCTCCTGTATGTTACTGTAAATACATGATGGAAAGACATTGTCATTGAAGCCCTGGCTCTGCTGTGTGTACATGTGCACATACTGCCACAGGCTGAGTGTCAAGGACCTCTGAGCACTGCTGGCAAGGGCTGTACCCCTGACCTATGCTCCCCAACCCACCCTCCAGCTCATCCTTTTAGGTGTCTTGAAATAAATGATTTATCCTTAAACCTGTAATTCCTCTGCTTCAATCTCCCAACGAGCTGGGATTACAGGCCCAGACTACCCACCAGGAACAGCTAACGCCCTCTTTTGAACTTCCACAGGTTTTTACGCGTGTATACAAATGGATGGGCTTTCCCTTAGCTTGGACCATCTAAGTTCAAGTTTTGAATCATTCTCTAGGGGTCAACGTAATAAAGTGTTCTTTCACAGAATACTGACCTAGAAGATCAGCGCCACCCTGTCCTTCAGATGGCTGAGCCCTTTTAACGCAATCCTTTTAGTTCTGAGTCACAGATTTCAGTGACAGATAATCTAAAGATCACATTGAATACCACCTTACCAAACAGTATATTTCCCTACACTAAAATTATGAATTATCCACATTGGAAACAAATTTAAGTTTCAAATTAAGTTTATAAGCAAATGCTAAAAAAACAATATTACTTTTGTTAGAATCATATTTAAAAAAAATTAAAGCTTCTTACTTTGTAATAATTCTCCTACCTAACTAGCAGAAAAAGAAAACCGGCCACCTGTGAAGTGTAGGTTCCACAAGCAATCGTAACTACATGCAGGAGGTAAGTCTGATGTTCTTCTAGGCTTGTGCAAAGTCAGCGGACTCACTCTTTCCTGAGTTAGCAGTTCTATCAACTTGCTCATGAAACAGTTACTAATGCCCATGACATGTGATGGGGAGGACTGGGCTGGGCACCAAGATACAACAACACACAGCGTCTGATCTTAAGATTAGTTTCACCGACTGTGGTTTCCTTGGTATTTAGAAAGTGGCTCCGTGTGGGCTGTGGCTGTCTGTCAGATTCAGTGCTGGGTTTGCCTCTGAGAAGCCTTTGCAACTTGAACATCCTCTGGTCTATCAAGCTAAGATCCCCACCTTCCCCCGCCCCCCCCCTTACGCATTGCAGAGCTAGTGAAAAACGTTTCTCCCATCCTTTCCCACAGGAACTTCTGTGACTATAGGGATAACATTCCTCAATGAAAATTGAATTTAACTTCATCTCAGGCCCAAGTGCTCACGTCTCCCTTTCCCCCTATAATGACTTAATTCAACATTAGCAGGAAAGATAAGACAGGTGCCCTCTAACTGCCCACTTCAGACCTTTTGTTTTTGAAAAAAGGAAATTTTCCTAAGGGGACTGATTGGGTTTAAAATGTTTATTTTCCTGAGTCTAACTTCATTTAGTGCTAGAATTACCACCCTAAAGGCATTACTGCAGGAAAGAGGCGTGGTGGGTGTCTCTGTTCTCAGACCTGCCTGAATGCCATTTTCTGGTCATTAAGGAGTTTCTATTTCAGAGCACAGCCCTTGGAGGCAAAGCTGGGACAATGGGGGAAGGAACAAGTCTCAGAAAGGCTCCTCTGGGTTAGCTGATAGGCATAAGACCCAAAGGGCACTCAATGTAAACCACATTACTGGCTACAGTGAAGCCTCAGGCCACTGCTAAGTGACACTACATTAGCTACTGAAAGGAGATCCAGCTATTAGACAGACTCACAACCAGGGATGTTGGGCCAACTGCATCTTCTAGAGACACAAATATTTACATGCTTCGTCTTAAGAAACTGGCTAAAATTTCAAAGTCCAATTTAATTTGTGTACAATTTGTCCCTAATGCAGGAAACACAGCTGCAGGCTTCGTGATTCATTAGGAAAAGTCCTTCCCTACATGATGGATTTCCCAATAAAATAATGACATCTAGTGAAATTAGCCAGACCCTACATACTTCAATAAACAAACTTCCTCACTGAGAAGCAGAGGGAGAGACTTAATACTCAAAGCAAAGCGAGATGGGTACCTTGGAGACGTGACCTTTGACTTAATTCATTCTTACACTGACATTCAAACTCCACTGAAATACAGATCCAACCTCCATTCTATCCTATACAGACTGTTGGTGCCAAAAACAATCTTTTCTGTTTCTTGCACTTTCTTGACAGTGCCATGATCCAAATTGCTAAAGCTATTTGGAATGACTTTCTCTGTACACTACTTGGCACTTTCATGTTGTTTTGTTTTAAATTGAGACAGGCTCTCATACAGTCCAGGCTGGGTTTGATCCTTATGTAGCTAAGGGTAACCCTGACTAGCTGATCCGCCTGCTCCACCTCCCAAGCACCAGGATGACAGATGTGCACTCCTCACCTGGCTTAACTGCTGGCCATTTTGGAGAGTCCATTCAAACTCCAAAAGTAAATACACTCCCTTCCCCACTTCATACTCATTTTTATCTTTTTTTGTTTTGTTTTTTGAGACAGGGCCTGTCTCTGTATATCCCTGGCTGTCCTGGAACTCACTCTGTAAACCAGGCTGCCTGCCTCTGCCTCCCAAGTACTGGGATCAAAGGTGTGCGCCACCACTGCCTGGCACCATTTTTATCTTTTTGATGCTTTTTTTCTAGATTTTATTTAGTGTTCAGCAAAATGAGATAGCAAGTTCCAAAGCGCTTTTCCACTCATCCCCACAGCCCCGAATTCCACTTTAGTAATCTGCATATGATAAACACTTAAAATACTTATTAAATAAAACTATTCTCTTCCTCACAATGCTGATAGTTGGATACATCAAAATTTTAAAGAAAACAAGAAAATCAACCATTAGGCCATTACAGGAATGGGTGTGGTGAACTGAGGTTAACTGTTTGGGGGCTAGGGAAGATACCTTTGTTCCCAGGTAAGCATGAAGACCTGAGTTTGAATTCCAAAATCCACATAAGACCAACCAACCAAACCTGGGTTTGGTGGCACACACGTGAAATCTCAGAGTTACAGAGGAAGGAGACACGCAGACCCCGAGGACTCACTGGTTACTCAGCTTAGCCTACTTGACAAACTCTAGGCGAGTAGAAACCTACCTTAATAAACAAGGTGGGTGACTCCCAGGAACGACAAATAAACTTGATCTCTGGCTTTTATATGTATGCATGCACACCTATACACTCATATAGTATGTGCGCGGGCTCACGCGCACGCGCGCACACACACACACAAACTCCATAACCAAAACTGGATAGAGTACGAGCTGTCCTTTTGCCCACTGGATTCGGAGTTGCTTGGGAACATACACAAGAAATAGTCACTGTTGGAAAGAAGCAGAGCGTGGTGCCCTTCCAGGTACACTGTGAAGGGTTTCCCATCCCAAGGGGTAGCAACAAGTGGGTCATTACTAGCAGCAGGACATGGTGGCACCATCACCATCATCCTCAGCTACAAAGAGAATTCAAGCCCAGCCCAGGCAACATGAGACACTGTCTCAAAACAAACAAACAAACAAACAAACAAACAAACCAGTTTGGGCATAATGGCACACACTTTTAATTCTAGTACTTGGGAGGCACAAACAGGCAAATCTCTGTGAGTTCAAGGCCAGCCTGGTCTATATAGTGAGTTCTAGGCCAGCTAGGACTATATATTTGAGATCCTGTCTCAAAAACCAAACAGGGACTGGAGCACTTATGAGCACATAGTGCTCTTCCAGAAGACCCAAATATGGTTGCTTGTACTCACGTCAGTGGGTTCCCAAGCACCTGTAACTCCAGTTCTAAGGGATCCAACGCCCTCTTCTGACCTCTGCAGACCGCCCCCCCCACCCTGAACCTATACATATACATAAGTAAAAATAAATATAAAAACCTAAACAAAAATGATTACACTGGGCTAAGTTATCAGAGACCATACATAATAGCTCAGGCATCAAAGTTCAAAAGGCTAAGCTTTTGACGTTGTAGTAAAGCTCACTATTTTCTTACATATTTTCTAATTCATTCCATAGTATTAGAGAAGTAAACTAGCAAATTAAACCAGTAGGTCATGTTGCATAAGTCAACAAGGAGTAAAGCAGGAATAAATACCTCTCCCAGGTCAAGCTAGTCTTGGAATCAGCATTTGGTAAGGGCTAGGGTAAGTTCCCGTGTTCTACTACAATAGCCACAGATGTGGGGACTAGAAGGACTAGAAATCCCACCTCATGTCAACCTCATTGAAAGTCGTCAGCATTGCACAAGTGTTCTGGGCTTCCTTCAGACGCTGGGCAATGCGCTGTCTCATCCTGTTCATTTTTTCCTGAAAGGAAAGAGGAACGAGTTGACCATCTGACCATCCCCAGTCAGTGAGAGGACTCAGCTTGCCAGCGATGGATGACAAGCACTAGAGAGCCTCCTGCCTCTGCCTCCAAAGTACTGGGAGTCATGGAGTATGCCACAATGCTGGGCCCAATCACTATAGTTAAAGCTAGAGGCTTTCCCTTTCCTGAGTGGCTTCAGCAAAAACACAGAATCAGAGACCAAAGTTTTCACTCAGATGTACAAGAAATTTGACCAAGAACAGAAGCTCAGGAAATAGTGTGATTTAAAAACCAAAACCAATTTACAAAAGGAAGACTGTGGTGGAGGTCCAGGCGCTTCAGAGTCATTTCAGAAAGGGCAACTTCTCTTGATAAAGACTAGCGTGAGAACAGCTACTTGGGGAATGGAAACTCAAAAACAAGCTTTTGAGGCTATGGTATTTTAGGAAGCATTCTGAGGCAGAGAACCCACACTCTTGACCGTATTTCCTTGAGGGTTTTGTCTGCTCTGACAGAGGATTGTTACAATGCAACAATCTGGCCCACGCTGGCTCCCCAGCTGAGGCAAAATATCCAGGAAGTCTAGAAAGAGAGAGCTCAGCAGACTACTTCTGAGAAGTGCGTGTCACTGTGGGAAGAAACGGGATGTGCTACTATTTTCTGCAGCTATTTACTCATTTGAAGCATTTTGCCAACAGCAGGATACAGTAGGAAACCCACTGTGTTCAGAAAACATGTTCTAGGTATACGTCTGACAGTTATGAGACCGTGAACAACGTTCTCCCCTTCTCAAGGCCAAGGCAAAGACTGAGGTTCCAGCCCTCTCTAATGGTGAGCACCACACTCACTGCACAGCGACTCTGCCGCCACTTTCCTGGAAGCTGTCAGAGGCTTACCCGGTGTTCTGAACGCAGACCTTTAGCAGCTCCTGCCTCAGCCAGTGGAGGAGCAGCAGTGGGTTTTATTGCAGACACTGAAAACGAAGAGAGGGCACAGCTACATCGGACACGGACAACAATATTTTCACACTGTATTATCATTTATCCTCAAGGTACTGAAGTTTACCAGCATCATTCCAAACTCATAGGTCAACAATCGCTCACAGAAGTAATGAGAAAAAAGAAAAAAAAAGAAAGAAAGAGCCGGGCAGTGGTGGCGCACGCCTTATAATCCCAGCACTTGGGAGGCAGAGGCAGGCGGATTTCTGAGTTCAAGGCCAGCCTGGTCTACAGAGTGAGTTCCAGGACAGCCAGGACTACACAGAGAAACCCTGTCTCGAAAAACAAAACAAAACAAGCAAACAAACAAAAAAGGAATGAGACTAGTGTTGCATGGTTAGCAAATAAATAGAAGGCTGGTTTGCAAACCCAGTTCTTCAGAATCTAGACAGCTTTCTACAAAGCAGCCAACCTGGTGTGTTCAGAGCCATGGCGTCAGACTGTGTCTGTGAGGAACATGGTATCACACGAAGTACCTTCTCCGCAAGAGACACCTGACAGTCTGAGACTGTAAGGGTTAATCTTCACTGTCAGTCTGACAGGCTTTAGAAGCACTGGGAAGAGAAAACCCTGGCTATGCCCCTGACCGTGTTCCCAGAGGATCTGACTTCTTGCTCTTAGTGGGGAGGCTCACTGTGAATGCAGCCAGCACTGTACTGTGGGCTGGGGTCAGGGAGTGAGGAGCTTTAAATAACAAAGTGAACCAAGCAGCAGACAATCTTTCTTGGCTGCAAAGGCCATGTGACCTTGCACTCTGACACCACACCTTCCTTGAAATAAAGGACTCTCATCCTCAAAACAAGCCAAAATAAATCTTTCCTAAGCTGCTTTCCGTGAGGTGTTTTGTTACTACACGGTCTTACCTGGTTTGCTAGAAGGAGGTTGTGAGGGTGAGGGCACTGGTGGCATCTGAGTGGGCACCGGTGCTACAGGGGGAGGAGGGGCAGCAGGCGCTTCGGGCTCTGCTTTGTGGGCTGCAGCAGGAGCTTCAGCTGGTTTGGCCTTAGCAGGAGCAGCTGTAAAAAAAAAAAGAGAGATGCCATTGGCATCATCCCATGGAAGGCAACTAATTGCAGCTACTAAAGAGGATTTACAGACAAAAGGTCTATTTTCAAGCCTCAAATGTCTCCTCGGTCTTTGCTACAGGCAAAGCATCAAGTGGTACATACTGACATAAGCCACTGCTCTCTATTCTCAGGTCTCCCTAAATGTCCTTCTGGCTCAATTCAGATGCCTTCCCGATTTCACAAATATTAACTAACATCTACTGACTTTTAAATTCAGCAGGTACTTAAAAAGCACATACTAAGCCCAAGGAAATGAAACCTAACCCAGTGGCTCTCAGCCTTCCTAACACTGTGACCCTTTAATACAGTTCTTCATGTGCTGACCCCCAGCCGTAACATTATTTTCATTGCTACTTCAGAACTTAATTTTGCTACTGTCACGAATCATAATATAAATATCTGATACGCAGAGGTTTTGGATGACTCTTATCAAAGGGTCATTCAACCTCCAAAGGGGTTGTACCCAGCTTGAGAGCCACTGTTTTAAGCAAAAATAACAAAGCAAATGAAAATGTTAAAATATACACACAAATGCGACATACTGCTAACCATGTTCTATTTTCACACAACACAAACAAGAAATACTCTTTTTGTTTTGTTTTTCAAGACAGGGTTTCTCTGTATAGTCCTGTCCTGGAACTCCCTGTAGACCAGGCTGGCCTCAAACTCATAGAGATCCACCTGCCTCTGTCTCCTGAGTGCTGGGATCAAAGGTGTGCGCTACCACCACCAGGCAAAAGGAATACTCTTAGTCATTAAAAATTTTAAAAGGTGGGGGAGGGCTGGAGAGATGGCTCAATAGTTAAGAGTACTGACTGTTCTTCCAGAGGTCCTGAGTTCAATTCCCAGCAACCCCATGGTGGCTCACAACCATCTGTAATGGGATCTGATGCCCTCTTGTGGTGTGTATGAAGACAGCTACAGTATAACCATATACATAAAATAATTCTTAAAAGAACATTTATTTTAATAAATCAACTTAAAGAATTGTTTTTGTTATTATTAACTGTGTATATGTGTGTCTAAAGGAGGGTATGTGCATGTAAGTGCAGGTGCCTGGAGGCTCACGGGAACCCCACAGCTGGAGTTTCAGACAATTGTGAGTGCCATGTAGGCACTGGGAGTGAACTTGGGTCCTCTGAAAGAGCAGTGTCCAACTCTGAACCACTGAGACATCCTCCAGCCTCTGAACTCTTTAATCTTAAATGAGCATTTGATAAAAATTTTATTTTGGGTCCTGGAAAGATGTCTCAGGTGTCCCAGCATGAATACTGACAAGTTCATTCATCCTAGCTACTTTAGATTTTTTTTTTCCCCTTACTTTGAACTTGATCTTGCCCTGACCAGCCTCAATGGTCCATCTACCATCTTTCTGTTTGACTATTTTAACAGTTAAATGCTCTAACTACAAAAATCTCCACTTACAAGTCAGAAAAACAGATTTTCTAATCTCTAATATGGACTGTAAGGTCCAGTACAGACATCTTTCTTTGGCATTTCTTCCAAACAGAAATGTCAATTTTCCCTAAGATGTGACATGTAAGAAGAAACTACAGGGAAAGGAAATGATTCAGTGGTAGAAACACATGGTACCAAGTCCGACAGCCTGTGTTCCAGGCCTACTGCCCACATGACAGGAAGAGAAAACCACTATTAAGTTATCCGCAGACCTCCACACGCATGCCTTTGTATGTTCACACCCCACACAGATACGCAGACACACACAGACACACACAGATACGCAGACACACACATACACAAATGTAATTATAAAAAAAGGAAACTAAACTCAGTCGTCTACACTCAGTTGTCTACACAGTGGCATTCAGGCCTAACTATATGTCAGAATCACCTAAGGGAATACTACAAAACTATAACAATCCAACTATTATAGCAAGGTGACCAATCAGAAATCTCAGGAGCTCGAAGCTTTTTCACTTGCATTTCTTTTAAAGCTCCATGTGATCCGGGTCAGGGTGGGGAAAATTACTCTCTTTCAGATTCCTGACTTCTGTTAGTTCTTTTTTTTTTATTCCAGCACTGAGGACCAAACTCAGGGCCTTGTACTTGCTAGGCAAGCGCTCTACCACTGAGCTATATCCCCAACTCCCTGTTAGTTCTTTAAGAAAAAGATCCAGTCTGAGAAATATGGAAAGAACAGAGTATTGTGGGTTTTTTAAATTACCTGGTTGGCTTAGAACTTGACAATTAAGAGTTTACCAACTATCAACAGGATTTCTCCTATCCCTCAACTAACAGTGTAACTAAAACGCCAGGCTGAGGCAGAGGGAGTTGCTAGGACAGAATGCTCAGCTCAACCCCACCAGGAAACACTGGAGACCTTGACCACCAGGAGAACTTCTTTACCACCGGTTTTCCTGAGTGTGAACAGAGGAGTTCCTCCTTCAACTTTGCCCCCATCGGGTACCAAAAGAGCTTCAATTATGCCATTTGCTGGTGATGGAACCTGCACAGAAGTCTGGAAAAGAAAGAGATAAAGACAGATTCCACATTTGTATCAACATTATTCAATCAGGATGAGTAGTTAGAGTTACAACACTGGGCCGGGCACTGGTGGCGCACGCCTTTAGTCCCAGGACTTGGGAGGCAGAGCCAGGCGGATTTCTGAGTTCGAGGCCAGCCTGGTCTACAGAGTGAGTTCCAGGACAGCCAGAGATATACAGAAAAACAACCCTGTCTCGAAAAACAAACAAACAAACAAACAAACAAAAAAGAGTTACAACACTGTTATATCTGGAATATTACATCTTCTTCCCACACAGAAACACCTAAGGCCATGTCTTCAGTCAGAAAAAGGTAAGTCTATCGTGAGCATTCACCTTCTGTCCTTTCTTAGAAACACTAAAACATACTTTAGTTACTATGTTTCCAAGTGATATAAGGAAGAAGACTGAAAGCAGCCCAGGAACCTCAAAGAAAACAAAGTAGCAACTGATTAAAGTTACTAGTGTGTATACTAAGTATCAACTGAATAATCAAAATTAAGTTGTAATTAATCTTTAGGCTAAACCCACCTTGTCTGTCTCAATCTCACACACCACTTCGTCTTCTGCAACCGCATCTCCAACAGCTGAAGGATAGTCAAAGGACAGCTGTTAGCTGGGAGCCTCTGGGCCCCTTTTAGCCTATGTATTAAAAGACCACTTTCCTACAAGACTGGGAGGAAACTGATACATAAGTAAAGGAAAGGTGGAGCCAGTTTCCACTTGCTGTGCTTCATGAAGAGACCTTAGTTTTTAACTTAAATGAGGAAATAAAAATCTCACCTTTCTCCCACCTGACATCTCCCTCTGTGACAGACTCTGCAAACGCTGGGGTTTGGACTGTAATTACATCATTCTCTAGGGAAAAACAAAACAGGAAAACTACAAGTGCTCATTCTGTCTTTTTAATGGTTGTTAGTTGTTTCTCTTTCCAGTAAAAGTCCATTCACAAGAAATCAGGTACTTAACTGCACACAGCCGTGGTCTGGAAGAAGCGAACACTGAAGACGCTACAGTTGTTAACGCTACAAAAGAAACATAAATGTTAACTCTTTTAGAATGTGAACCACTAATATTTCAGTCTAGTCCAGGTACCAGGGCTAACTCTTGAAACTGGTGAATCTCAAACAGATCTCATGCAGGGGAACTTGTCAAAGCACACATATCAGGCCTGACCTGGACAGATTCTGACTCAGCAGGTATAACCCCAGAACCTATTACTACAGGTGTCTTAACTAGTGCTCAGTACTATAATGAAATGTCATGTCCCAGAAGAGTGAGACAGACTGGTTCTATTAAGAAAAAGAATTCTGATCCTTTGCAAACTAATCAAAATGATGTCTCTTCCTGATTAGGTTTCTTTAACCAAATCCTCAGCAGTGCACAGATATGCCAAATACAAATGCGTTACTATCCTCAGGATTAGATTTAGATAAGGCAGCAAAATGATAGTAAACTCAGAAGCAAAAAGCAGAGTTTTGGGCAACCACCAACTCCCCCCCCACACACACACACATTAAAAACAACAACAGCAACAACAAAACAAAAACCTCCAAAAACCCAACTACATGGTATTTCTTATAGCATTCCCTTGCAAAGAGGCAGCACATCTGCCCACCCTGGAATCACTGCAAAAGGAAATCCAAAACCAGGCCATTTGATGTGTGCAAACTCATTAAGTTACTTCTGGGGAATGAAGATATAGATACACCCGGTTACTAAGGTTATCTGTCATTCATTGGTTATTTATACAGTTTGAGAGAATGAGTTAAACTGATGGAAAATTTGCTTTTTATACAGGATTTAGGGGATCTTCTCGCCAGTTTGTTGTTGTTGTTTTGTTTTTCCAGACTAAGTATCACTATCCCTGGCTGTCCTGGAACTCAATCTGTAAACTAGGCTGGCCTCAAACTCACAGAAATCTGCCCTGCCTCTGCCTCCCCAATTCGGGGATTAAAGAGATGAAGCATTATACCTTAACAGGTTATCTTTACAATACATAAGTAGACTTAATTGCTTTTTGTTCTCTTTTCTTTTATGTCAGGATAACTTTAAAATGTATGTATGTATGTAGTATCAAGGAGACCAATACAAAAATACAGAACACAGAATACTGTGTATAAAATTTGTATACATACATAAGAATGTAATAAAAACATATGTCCATGGGCAAAGAATAATGAATGGCTAATGTGGAAAAGAAGGGGTTGCTTTGGCAGACACCTAGAAAGCTGGCACACTGGCTACGTCTTGGAAGAGGTGCTCTACGGGCTAGAAGGCAAGGATAAAATACTTATCACTGGGCAGTGGTGGCTCATGCTTTTAGTTTTAGCACTCAGGGGGCAGAGGTCAGCGGATCTCTGAGTTTGAGGCCAGCCTGGTCTACAGAGCAAGTTCCAAGACAGCCAGGGCTACATAGAGAAACCCTATTTGGAAAACAAAAAACAAAAGTGATAGCCTTTTGAAACATGAAATTACCTGTTAAGTAAAAACAAAGTAAAAAAGTTTTAGATTGAAAGATCTTTTAAGCAGGTAAGATGGCTCAGTGGACAAGGGCTCCCAAGCCTGGTGACTTGAGCTTGGTCCCACGGGACCCACATAGTAGAAAGAGAGAACCAACTTCCCACAAGACCATCACCTCCGTATGAAGGCCATGGTGTGCTCCCTTCACCGCTACTACACAATAAATGCAATCAAAGAATTTTGTGTAAAGATCTTTTAAACAAAATAGACATGCATAGAAGAAAAGACAGCATGCGACACAGATGGTGTTACTAGCGTGACACAGCTGAGGGTGACTCAAGTGGAAGTTCAGAGCTTTCCACAATTAACTTTAAATAGTTTTGTGTTGTATTTGTTACATGAAGTCAGATTACCCCTCATTATCCTGCTCTCCATTTAAACTGAACAAGTCATTATGTTTTGACTCTCTGAATCGTTTTTTTAAATTATGAAAGCATTACTTGCTTATTGTTGAGTATTAGAAACAGGAAAAAAGAACTTTATAATGGAATTACACATCAAAAGATGGAATATTCTATAAATCTTTTATTTCTTACTTATCATAGTGGGAACATGTTAAAACACTATAGCTTAACCGCTGGCTGTTTGTCTTTTTTGAAAGACACCTGAACATATAAATTCTGCAGTGCAGATTCTTAGAAATGCCATTTCAGAACCAGGCATACTGAGTGGCACACGCTTTTAATCCTAGCACTCAGAGGATCTGAGTTTGAGGCCAGCCTGGTTTACAGAGCTAGGTCTAGAGTAGAAACCCTGTCTTGAAAAAAACCAACCAACAAACAACAAAGATTTCAAGAGTTTTATATTCTAACAGCATGCTAATGAAACATTTTGGAATGAAAGCAAAACTTCTTGTGCTGCATAGAAAGAAACTCTCATTCCTGCCAAAGCTTCACCCTGTAAACAAGCAGCCCCACGGTTCCTGAAGAGGGAACTAGAAAGCAGCCTCTCAGCACACCCAAAATACTTGAACTGCAAAGCAACTCAAAACAACACTCACAAGTACCAGTTAATCTGGACCACACGTGGATGGCCGTCCCCCAAACTCTTCATCAGGCAGTAACAGCATTCTTACCAAACCAGCCAGAAGTCCTAGGCTTACTTAACTGGTCCTTTATATTTATTGATTTTTAAGATGAGTAACTATGCTACCAAGAGAGGGAATCCTCTCGATTTCTGGAATGAATGTGACCTCCGGCCCTCAGCTGCACTTGTATCCAACTAGAATATCAGGTTCCCTTAGATGCTCATTCTCATTTTTAAGAAAAAGAATGAGAAGAAAGATAGCTTCAAGTTAATAACTCATTATATTTTAACTATCTGCGAAGGTCCGGTACACTTTTGGTCTAACACCTAACCACTGAACTGATGACAAAGGTAGATTACAATAAAAATGACCATGATCATCCAGGTTGGGTCTATGGATTCAACCAAATGCCCTTAACTTCTAGAACTGGGGGTCTGTGAAAGCATGAGTAGTTTAAATTTAGAATCTGTGTCTAAGTAAATCTGCCATGGCCACATATCTGCATTACCCAGTGATACTTACACCATCGTCCTGCTGTCAGGGTAACCTGGTCCCTGACATAAGGAGATCCCTGCAAGAAACAAAACAACTCTTAATCATCATCTCTTCTACACAGTGTATTACATGGAACTGTCCATCCTACAGATCCCAGACAGAGCGAACCGGAACTGTCCATCCCACAGATCCCAGACAGAGCGGACCAGCTTCAGGCTATAATATAATCTCTATCACTTAGACTCCTGCTTCTCAGATGTTCTACCTGCCGTGCTGGCAGCAAAGAGGAAGATGAAGAGTGGATGTGCACTTGGAGGGGAAGAGATCTGATGCTCAGACCTAAGGGCTGTATAACCTGCCTGCCTTGGAAAGTCACTGATCTTCATTAGTCTACTATGTTTGCATAATAAAATGTCTCTATTACCTTTGAAACTTGAAAGTAAGATATGATAGCTTGTCCTGTGACTTTATATAACCTGAGGCAGCGGAGCTGACCTGGCTGTAAAGGATGAGGTTAGAAACTGTACTGACTGAACCCTAGTGGCAAATACTATATAGGCGGCTTTAGGCTTAGGGTCTTCCACTTGTCCTACAATACAGCAAAAATCATCTCCCTCCCTGTCAGTTAACCTTTCTCTGATGTACGTCTTTCACCTGGTCACTCTTAATAAAAGATGAGTCCTTGTGACTTCCAATTCAAAAAGGGTGATTTGCTTTTTTTTTTGACACTGGCCAAAGGCCTAAGCATGCTTGCCATGACACTCTGGGATGTCTTCCTGTTTCTTGAGAACTCCCTGCCCTTTCTGCAGCTGTAAGCCCACACTTCCACTGCTGACCATGTGTGCCTTCCTGGACCCTAATTCAAAAGGCCTGGTCAGCTCCCTCCTCGTGGCAGCTGCTAGATTCGGTTTGCCTGACCTGCCGGTTTTCTCTCAAGTTCTAATAAAACGATCCTTTAGCAGGAGAGTGGAAGGGGGGGAGGGAGAGAGGGAGAGTCCCTACCCACTAAACCAACTGTCCTTATCATAAATTCATTTCCCCAGTATCTACTAACCACAGCTGCTTCTTCAGAATATATTATTTTTGCTTTCTTTTTTTGCTATTGGTGTCTATTAATAACCCTTTCAGCACTCTGGGTGCAGACGACATCAACTGAGAGATACCCAGTCCTTATGCACATACACTCCCTCACAAACATTCCCAGAGTCAGGTCAGCCAGGCATCTCTGTATTCAGCAGCCAATGAGTGCAGCGCAGATTCTAAGCAGAACCTGTCTTTGAACTAGAACACAGCTGCCCACACAGATTTTTGGAAACTGGAGTCCTACAAAATTTATCCTATGACAAGTTTTATTTGTACAGTACTATAGGCTTATAAGGAGATTTCACACAATGGCCTTTTCATGTTCCACTCTCAATAGCAACTCCCTGAAGTAGAATGGCCACTTGCCATCATTTCTATTTCATATACAACTATGTTGGTGACTAGCCTAAACCAGAATACTTGAGTCAAGATGCCCATTCCTAAGCACAAGGCTTTTCCTTTTCCTTACAGCATAAAAAGTGGAGAAAATACTCGTGGCGCCTTCCAGCATTCTCAGCTGAACAGAAAGGTCATAACTGAGAATGCACTATGGACTGTGCTTGATACCTTATGTCCTCCTGGCTTAGGATAAAGTCCAAGCACTTTATAGTTCTCCACTTAGCCTCCTTTGTATTTCCAGCTGACCATCTGTACAACTGGTCAAGTCTCTTCCTGCTTGGAAACATTTGCACAAGTAATTCCCTTTGCCTGGAATAGCATTTCCCTGGCTAACTCATGCACTCTTTAAGCCTCATCTTAAATGTTGCTTCCCTGGACCCTCTACCCTCTAACCTCCCAGGCTAGCTTTATCATCAGGATACCTCATGTCTCATCCTGTACTCCTCAGGGACCATCGTGTCATTTTCTCCCTATGTGTACATAAATGTGTATTTGCTTCGTCTATCCAGCTAGCCCAAGAGAGTCTTGCAGATGAGACCATCTCTATCCCTACCACCTAGCTTAGCAGCTAAGTGAGCACTCTAGTCCGTTGACAGGGCTGGGACACGGCTCAGTTGACTAGTAAGAGTCTTGCCCAGCACAAGTCTTGGGTTTGATCTCCAACACTACATAAAACCAGGCATGGTGGTACAACCCTGTGATCCTAGCACTTGGGAAGCAGAGGCAGAATGATCAAAAGTAAAATGTCAGCCTTAGACTACTTATCTAGTTTGAGCCCAGCCTGGGCTACATCAGACCCTATCTTTCAGACACAGACATACTCCATTGAGTCCACAAGAAAATAAAAACACTTCTTTCAGTGAAGCAGTTTGGGCTGAGGAAGGAGTCAGGTGGGCCTTACTTAATTAATAGTTTTGGTTGAGTGACCTTGGCCTAGAAATCTGGGAATATGCTACTAAATCTCACTTGGTTATGATTAACCCAAAATTGCACAGAAAGTATTCAGAACATTTGGCACAAGAAAGCCTACATACAGTTAAGATTGAATCTTTCAACAAATGTTTTGCCAGAGCCAGATGTGGTAGCGAAAGGCTGTAATCCTAGCTCTCTTGAGGCTGAGAGGCAAGAGGAAGTTCAAGGCCATACATAGCTCTAGGCCAGCCAGTGCTAAACAGCAAGACTTTGTCTCCCAAAATAAAAAAGAGGGGGTGGGCAGGTGGATGAATAGATATTTGCCAGGCCCCTGATGAAAAGTCAGTTACGGAAGGTTGTTAATAACTTTCTCCCTCTATCAAAGACAACAGCAACCCACACACAGCTATGAGAATGAAAATCAAAACTTTTGGGGCTTAGGGGTTCAGAACCTGTATTGCTCCCGCAGAGGCACAGGCTCAGTTCCCAGCACCCCCATCAGACATTTCACAAGGGCCTGTAACTGCAATGACAGAGGATCCCACACCCCTTCTGGCCTCTGGGGTCACATAATGCCAAGCAAGCACATACAACACACATAAAGAAAAACAAATTTAAGAGAAAAACAACTAAACTTCCAACAGTCTACACCATCATTTACCTCAGGATACTGTTTCCTTTAACTAATGGCTTCCTGTATGCCACTTTGTTTCCAAAAAAACACCACACCTGTTTCCTTCTGTACTGGCTTCATGCATTCTAACTCTTCTCTCTTTTTCCTCACTGACTCTGTCACATCCTCCAAGTCACAGCTTTAATGTCACCTACTTAAAAGAAACCTGTTCTGTCCATGCACACACTTCCAAGCACTTACACGATTTGATGATCACGTCGTCAGCAATTTACACCTTGCTTTCCCCTTAAGCCTTAAGCTCCTGGAAGACAAGACTTTTTCATTGTTGTCTCTCTAATGAGTACCTAAGCTCAGTGCCTGACAGTGTAAACCCAATAACCATGGGCCGGTGGTGTAGCTCAGTGGTTAAGTGCTTGCCTCTCATGCCCTAGATTCCCTCCACCACAAAAAGCCAGTACCAAAACCCAGTAAGTGTGCACCGAGTGAATAGACGACAGCGGTTATACTTAAGGAGTATTTTGCTTCTTATCTATCTGAATTCATTGTCTTTAAATACCATCAGAAGAAACATCAGATTTCCTCACATGCTGCTCTGCCCACGAGAAGAGCATTTTAGGTGACCGCAAGGGCAGAACTTACCAGGCAGGGAACGTCTCCCTAGAGGGCAGTTCCCCTGTTGAGAAAGAAGACATTATCGACGTCACCCAAAATGAAAAGAGGGGGAGGAAAAAAAAAACATTTTTTTAAAGCGCACGTTTATCGTGATGCTGATAGGTGAATCTCTTAACTCCGAAAGTAAAAGCAAGACTCAGAGTCGGCCAAACTATGTCAACCTCCCCACGAGACTGACAAGCGCTGGTTTTGAGACCGCGAGGAGACAGGCCGCGCGATACGGCTGGGGGCCGTGCCTCCTCTCTTAACTCTAAGTCAATGTCGCTGCGGGCGCGGCTCCCAGCCCCGGAGCAAAGGGTCCGGGACACAGCAAACGGCCGGCGCGGGCTGCCTGGGAGAGGACAAGGGCTCCGGGGCTCCGTCCACGCGGCTGGGCGGCTCCGCGGGCGTCGGCAGCCCCTGCGTCCCGGTGCCCTTGGTGCCCGGCCTGGCCAGCACGTCCTGCCCTTCAGCCTGCCCGTCCGCCCACAGCCAGGTTTGGCACCCATCGGAGCCCCGGCCCCGCCAGACAGTACCTTCTGGAAGGCAGAAAGCGAGCGGCTGAACGCCCGGGACACGCAGCGGGACCGGGACAGCATCGCGGAGGCAGCGGGATGGAGGGCGGGCGGACACCGGATATAGGGCCCGGCAACAACCGGAAGTGAGACCGGCCGCAGCACCCGCCAAGCAGCGAGGGGTGTTCGGAGCGAACCACTAACCCTGTTGGGTGCCGGGCAGGGTGAGGCAGGCTGGTATCATTAGCGGTCCCAGCGCTGGGAAATCTGTGGCGCTGTCAAGAGAGGGTCAGCTTGGGTTAGTATTCTTCGAGGACAACCATCTGGCCACCGGAGCGCCCCCGGGTTCAAGCCTTGCCTACCTTTCCTCAGAGCTAGTTCTGTTTGGCGCCCTTTTCTGCTGTCCCCCAACCCCCCAGCCTTTCTGCCTCTGCACTCTAGGAAGAGAGGATATTGGCTAAGAACTCGGATCTCAGGCTGGTGGTTAGGCTTATGCGGACTTGGGCAGGTGACACTACCTCTCTGAGCCTGGAAGTCCTCAAATACATACTTGCACTTTTCACTACCCAGTTTCCTTAGCCCCGTCCCCTTCCCCCAAGAGACCAGAGTACTTGGAACTTGTAAAGGTCACGTTCTTGTATCCTTTCAACACAGGGGGTTCTCAAGCTGTGGGTCGTGATCCTTTGGAGGGTCCGACGACCCTTTCAGCGGGGTCTTATATCAGATATCCAGCATATCAGATACTTATTACAACTTGTAACAGTAGAAAATTTACAGTTATGAAGTAGCAACAAAATAACCGTATGGCCCGGGATCACCACAAGAGGAACTGTATTAAAGGAGCTATAAGACTTTCACCAACTGGAGAGATGGCTCAGTGGTTAAGAGCACTGGCTGCTCTTCCAGAGGTCCTGAGTTCAAGTCCCAGCAACCAAATGGTGGCTCACAACCGTCTGTAATGGGATCCGATGCCCTCTTCTGGTGTGTCTGAAGACAGCTACAGTGTACTCATATACATGAATTATTGCCGGGCGGTGGTGGCGCACGCCTTTAATCCCAGCACTTGGGAGGCAGAGACAGGCGGATTTCTGAGTTCGAGGCCAGCCTGGTCTACAGAGTGAGTTCCAGGACAGCCAGGACTATGCAGAGAAACCCTGTCTCGAAAAACCAAAAAAAAAAAAAAAAAGACTTTCACCAACTAGCCTCACAGTGCTTTATCTCCTGATCTTCTCCCGCCCCTAAGCAAACACTCCAGCCATGCTAACTGGTCTCCACCCATCCTGTGCACTCTGGAAGTTGTTACCCAACTCTGGGAATGTGATATACTAATCTTATGGGGGTTAAGCTTTTGTTCCATGCCATACCCCATTGGCATAGGTTGTATACCCAGCTCTGAGTATACCATTCTGCCCATTGCCTGACACTGAAAGCACATGGTACCCTTACCCATCCTTATTTGCTCACTCTTAAATCCCTAGACCTTTAACCCTGACTTCCTAACAGAAGAGGTACTCCATGAACTTCAGCTGAATAAATATCAAATTAATATATAAATGAGTGAAGGAACCACCTAGTGCCGTTGATTTCTTTTACTTGAGTTATTTTGCCTAATTCTCAAAACTTTCACAAAGCCTCCACTCACCAACCCTGGATACACTGGCCCTGGAATCTTGGAGTACTGGGCAGAATCCCTGACTAGAAATAGAGAGCTCATTATTGGGCCTCTTATGCCCTTCATCTGGTTAGTTCCAAAGCTTCTTTAACATAACAGGTTTAAGTCTCCACTTTCAGCCGGGCAGTGGTGGCACACGCCTTTAATCCCAGCACTTGGGAGGCAGAGGCAGGCGGATTTCTGAGTTTGGGGCCGGCCTGGTCTACAGAGTGAGTTCCAGGACAGCCAGGGCTACACAGAGAAACCCTGTCTCGAAAAACAAAAACAAAAACAACAACAAAAAAATTCTCCACTTTCACTCTCTCCACTCCCGCCTTCACACCTCTGTCCAAGATCCTTCAATAGTGCAGAGTTAATCCTGCCACCCCCGCTGCTTAAAGTCTTCCAGTTGCTACTGCCTATCTATAAAACCCAAACTCCTCAGCTCGCCCAGGCACCTGATAATCCGGCTGTGGCTGCTTGGCTGGTGCTGCAGGCCTCACAGATGCTGGGCATTAGCCGTGATTCACTGCTGGCCATCCGCCCCACCCACCCCACTCTCCCCCCTTCACTATTTCATTCCCCCTATTTGTGTGGGCTGTGCCTTCCTATTTATCTAGGGGCTTTTTACTTTCCCTTTAAATCTCTTCCTGAAACCTTTCCTCTTCCCCTCTGGCAGAGTGAGCAGGTACTTGAGGCTTCCAAAGTAATGTGTCTCTGTCACTATAGCACATCGCTACTGTGATGACCTGTTTAGAACTGTCTTGGAGCTGGAGAGATGGCCCAGTGGTTAGGAGCATTCACTGCTCTTCCAGAGGTCCGGAGTTCTGTTCCTGGGGACACATTAGGTGGCTTACAACAACCTTTATCTCCAGTTCCAGGGGATGAAACTCCTCTGGCTCTATGGACACCTGCACATTCCCCCCAGAACAGACACACATAATTAAAAATAATAAAATTAACAAAACAACAACAAAAAATCCCCAATAAACCTGTCACTTCTATTGATTAATCAAGGAGAGAAACAAAGAAACCACTCTCTTTCTGAATCGTCTGCTCAAAGCTGGCCAGTAAGTAATTGAGAAATGGCTACACACTTCATGCTCACAACACTTTTGAGGAATACAAGAATAGCCAAAGTATGTCAGTTTCTAGCTGCTGAGGTGGCTGCTGACATTTCTTAGATAGTTGCTTAATCCTTTTGCTTTGCTTTGTGCATGCTAAGTAAGTTCTGCCCCTAGGCTACACCCCAGCTTCTCCTTCCATAGTTACATAATTTTTTCACGTTTACAATGATTAATTTTTGAGCTTCTTCTCTAATGTTTAGAAGCTCAAGCTTAGATATAACGTGGCAAGCATATTTCCTGGAGTTTTGCTGATCACCCAAATTCATCTTTGATTTTAGAGTTTTAGGCTGGGCATGTTCATGCATGCTTATAATCCAAGAATTAAGAAGGTAAGGTAGGAGGTTATGAATTCAAGGTCAGTCTGGGCAATGCAGCAGTATTCTTTCTCAAAAAAGAGAGTAGACTGGGACCATAGCTCAGTGATAGACGGTTTACCAAAGCCTAGCATGTAGAATACCTTAGGACTAATCCCCAGAACTGCTGAAAATGTTTTTTTTTAAATATGTATGAAAACCTTTGTACATGATAGCATTCAAAGTCCTCCTCCAAGAATAAAGGTTGAAATTGATTTCCTTGAGATTTACCCATGAGCTTCCATGGTCTGCAAGGTGCAGTCCTATAAGCTAGGACACTGGCCTGGCTTGAAGTCTCTCTAGGCACAGCATGGTCTTTAGCATGGTTCTGAACTTCCTGATGCTGTGACCCTTTAATGCAGTTCCTCATGTTGTGCTTACCCCCAACCATAATATTCTCTTTTTTTTTTCTTTTTCTTTTTTTTTTGGTTTTTCGAGACAGGGTTTCTCTGTGTAGCCCTGGCTGTCCTGGAACTCACTCTGTAGACCAGGCTGTCCTCGAACTCAGAAATCCACCTGCCTCTGCCTCCCAAGTGCTGGGATTAAAGGCGTGCGCCACCACCGCCCGGCTGAGGGGGCTACTTTTGAACGTAATAGAAATGGACTCACAGTCCTTGAACCACTCTGTGATCGATTTTTTTTTTCACTCTGCATTATGTTTGGAGAATTAATTGATGTTGATAAGATGAGCGACAGTGCATTGATTTTCTCTCTTTTTTAACCTTTAAAGTTTTATTTAGGGATGGAACCTGGGACTTCTGGAAGAGCAGCAGATGCTCTTAACCGTGGAGCCATCTTTAATAGCCTGGTGCACTGATTTTCACTGCCGTATTTTACAACATTCATTTCACTTCCCAGGTTGAAGTGGAGAAGATGGAAAGTTCTGGGAGAAGTTTTGGGTGTAGGCGGGTTCTCCTCGACTCTATCAGAGATAGACGGGCCTATCAGCGACTTCTACTGCTGGGGCAGGCCTCACAGCCTGTTCTTCCTGAGATCTGAGGTGCTAGACAGAATTCAGACCCCTGAGATTGCTGGAGGGGTCTGAAGAAAGATGATCACTTTGGAGGTGTCTCTGGACGGAACTTGGAAGCAGACGTCAGACGCTGACATAGAGCAGTGGGGGAAGCGGAGCATGCCACAGTCCAAATCTTCAAAGGGCTCTGAAAATTCTTAGCAAGGATGGAAGAAACCCTCTGAGCAGGGCTTTCAGAGAACCTGATTTGCCATGGAGGTGGGAAATGACAGGGGTCAGCCAACCAGCTCGGGGGCTCCAATTTGCATATTCATAAGCCCCCCATGCTGGTTGGCTGTACTAAGCAGCCCACTGGGCCCCAGTAGGGTTGGGTCTATCAGATAGTGACTTGCTTTGAGAAGGGGCAGGAGGCTCCCCTCACCCAGCCGCAGCACCTGACTGACTTGAGGAGGAAGAAAGGAAACCAAAATCATTTCCTGACCCTCGCTCTGTCTGCCCAAGGCTGGTGAAGACACTAATGGAGATCAGAGCTCCCTGAGGACTTTCCAGTAAGTAATGTCATCCCTTCCACTTGCCTTGCTACAGCCCATTATTATTTTATTATTATTTTATTATTATTTTTTATTATTATTATTTTATTATTATTATTATTATTATTATCATTATTACCATTATAATTATCACCATTATTGAATGCTTATTATGAAAGTTTTCAAATGTTAACTTATTGTATCATATTTGCTTTATCTATTTTGGGGGGGTAGGTGAAATATTTTCAAGTGAATTCTAGTCACTGAGATAGTCTACTCCCTCAAACTATGCCATACCCAGTATCAGGGACAAATTGAAGCTCCTCTTTCCTTAGGGTCTCGCATCGTGTTTTTGATTACCACATCTCCATTTCAGAAAAATGGAACGGTAAGAAAGTGCCGCTCCGGGGCCAATTCCCGAGGGCAGAGCCCAGACCCCTACTTCTATCCCAGATTCCCATATAACTCCCTCATAGCCTCACAAGACCATCTCTGATGTCCAGAGGTATCATTGTAGGACTGTATCTTGCACATGCAGCTCCACCGCGCTGGGCTCCTGTAAAGTGGGGGCATGCCGTGATGATCCAAGGTCTTCGGTGTGTGTATCAGTTTCCAGGAAAATAACAAAAGGCAGGTCAGACATTTTCCCTCAGCTAAGATTATCTGTATGTAATGGCCTTCTTCCTCCTGTGATAAACAGGATGGTTAAGATTTTCCTTTATGGAATCTAGATGATAGAAGATTATAATTTTTTATATGCTTATTTTTGTGCCCTTACCGCCCAGTTAAAATGTCAGCGATTTCTCCACTGCCCCCCCCCCCCGTTTTGTTAATGGTCAATGTTTGTAAAACTTGGAAACTGTCGCATCAGTTGCTCCTTAAGACCACATGGGTGTCACAGTTCTGTGGCTATGGGGGTCTCTGAACCACCACAGAAAGAGAAGAGACTGCAACGGAAGAATCACCTATTCCCAGCCCTGGCCCTAGACATGCCTGACTACGTGGTATCCTGAGAAGACACAAGCTTAGGAGATTGACTACTGTCAACCTTGTTTTACAGACAAAACAACAACAACAAAAACAGGCAGGAAGAACAGAACTTGCTTAAGGTCGCTAAAAAGTTAACCATTCTGATGTAAGCTCAGGAGTCAACACCACCTCAGGTCACCTGGACTTCTCACTCAGTTCGGTCCATACCTGCCTGTGGATGGGGCTGTGAGAACGGGGCCTGGAAGTATGACCCTCACCCATTCTTACCATTGGCACGTACAGTTCAGAGTGAGGACAACACCAAGGGCCTCTCACTGTGGGAAATGACAGAGATGAGGTTATGAATGAAAACACCTCAGTACAGCCAGAAAGCACCACAGGACTTTGAGATGTACTACCCTGAGCAGGTTTTATGTCGGCAGCTACCATTAGCTGCACCTGGTATTTGGCCATTTAGGTGAGAGGTCTGTAAGGCAAACAGTCGAAGAAAAAAGGCATTCGTTTAAATATGGTTGAAGGGTCATTATCATGAATTAATCACCAGTGGAGGAGGGGTCCTTAGGTCTTTTGCCATGTGCATAGGATAAGGCACTTTGTTCTGTATTTCTCAGAATGCAATCGTGACTGGCAACTGCCAAGACACAAGGCTAGACCAGTTAAAATATAACAGAGTCAAGGGAAGGAATGAGCAAAAGCAAATCCTAATTTTTCCTAACAGGGGGCTGACAGGAGCTTCATCAAGGAAGTAAGAATAAACTTTTTTGTATAAATTTGAATTGCGCTTTAGCGACAGTAATGGGAATGAGCTAGCATCTCTCAGGCTTCCCAAGATGCCCTTCACCCAAGGGCTCCATCCGCTTTTCCAGTTGGTTCCCCCTGTCCTGGTTGGAGTATGCTGTGGCCTAAATCTGTACTCATCACAGAAGGGAGGCATAGACTGAGAGAAGCTGCTCGCCCCTGAGCTGCGCCCTGGGCAGCTATCCCTTTCTCCAGCTTGGGCAGAGATTTGGGAGTTTACCAGGGATATCCGAAGGGTGAGCCGACTCTCAGGAGAGGGGCCCTGGGCTGGAGTGTAGGGGAGAAGCCGAGACTCTCAGGAGAGGGGCCCTGGGCTGGAGTGTGCGGGAGCAGCTGCGGAAATCGCAGACTCCAGATGTTCCTTTCCACAGCTTGCCCAGGGGCCCCAGCTGTCCGGGAAAATGCACACTGCCTCTCTTTTGTCTGTCTCTTACTTGACATTCAATCTCAGCTTCATTCTACACTTTTTAACTACAAAAATCCTGTGTACATTTCCCACTATTTCACAGATTCTGTTTCATTAATTTTCCCCTGCTACCATGTGGATCCTGGGGATAAACTCAGGTCATCAGGCTTGGTGGCAGGTACCTTTACCAACCCTTTATGCGTGTTTTTGAGATAAGGTCTGATGCCACTCACTGTTAGGCCAGGCTGGCCTCAAACTTGCTGTCCTTCACTCTGCCTTCTGAGTGCTGGGATTAAAGGTGCAAACACCCATGTCCAGATTTTGTTGTGTTTTTAATATCTGATTTTCTCTTAACCTTGAAGCTATTATAAAATAGTGTTATGAGCCAGGCGGTGGTGGCGCACGCCTGTAATCCCAGCACTTGGGAGGCAGAGACAGGCGGATTTCTGAGTTCGAGGCCAGCCTGGTCTACAGAGTGAGTTCCAGGACAGCCAGGGCTACACAGAGAAACCCTGTCTTGAAAAAAAAAATAGTGTTATATAAACTCTGGTTAAATATAAATTTTTAAATGGTTACACAAGATAGTCATGTAGATAGACTCATGCTTATAAATTCCCCTCATTCCCCTGCTTTAAGTTAATATGGGATGGCCATCTTTGACATAAATTCATCATTGTAATTTTCTTTTAACTTCGTATGCATAAAATCATTCACTTACAGTAAAAATGTTTTAAAGTTTCTTCATGACTTATGCAAATGTGTGTGTCTAACTGTATAGTGTGCATGCATGTGTGTATGCATGTTTGCATGTGTATGGGCATATCTTTGTGTGTGGGTTTGTGTGCATGTGGGAACCATAGGTTCACTGTTTTCCTCGGTTGCTATCCACCGTATGTAACACAACTGATTTGGTTGGTCTAGCTAGCTAGCTTGCTCCAGGGATCCAGTCTTTGCCTCTTCAACACTGGAATTATAGGTGGGCCACCACACCCACCTGGCATTTATGAGGGTGCCGGGGAATTGAACTTTGATCTTCACACTTGAGCAGCAAGCTCTTTAACCACAGAGCTACTCACCAGTCCCAAGTTTCTGCAGCACAAATATTTACCTAGAATTATATGATCAAGGTTAATGAAAATGAAGCAGCCGGGCGGTGGTGGCAGTGCATGCCTTTGATCCCAGCACTTGGGAGGCAGAGGCAGGCGGATTTCTGAGTTAGAGTTCGAGGCTAGCCTGGTCTACAGAGTGAGTTCCAGGACAGCCAGGGCTACATAGAGAAACCCTGTCTCGAAAAACCAAACGAGAAAAGAAAAAAAAAGAAAAGAAACACAATCAGATAATTTGTGCTGTGTGTGTGCACAGCTTCTGGGGTTGACCTAAGGAGGGCAGCAAAGGAATGAAGAAATGTCAAACACAGAACATCTGGAATCGGGTGGGTTGAACTCTTGGATGGAGGCACTGCAGTGTCCCCAGGAGCTTAGCATGCTTATTCAATCCAGTTGAACAGAGAGGTGGGGTTACTGCGTTCAGCTGAACAACGAGGCAGGGCTATTACATACAGATAAACAAGGAGGCGGAGCTTATGGTACACAGCTGATCAAGGGGAAGGTTTAGTTAATCTCAGAAGGAACAGTCTGTGAACATCTGGAAGGAGACAGTGACAGTGGAATTTTATGCACATACTGTCAACATTTGCACTCCAGAGCAAGCTTTGCTATCCCCTTGAGACTAACCCAGGGGAGGCTTTGCCACTCCCATGGGGCTGAGGCATGGTCATGCCCATGTAACAATACATACTCACTCAGGATTTCATGCCTTAAAATCTTACCCATCAAAGTGACAAAGATTTAAATGACAATGTCAGTTGCATTGCTGAGAAAGTAGAGGTGGCAGGTAAACTGAGAACTGATTAAAAGTATACACATGCGTGCACACACACACACACACACACATTTATACACAAGTAACAAACACATGAACATGTTGTTATAGAATTTCAACCATGATACAGAATGAGGGCTAAAAGTTTCCCTCCACTAGTCTGTTCCTCTTGGTCAGCTGGCATATTTCTGGGAGGCAGTCAGGTAAAAAGTTTAATAGATATTTGGTCTTTGATACAGTATTACTACTTCTAGAAATGTATCAAAATTAGTAAATAGATGGGCCAGAGAGTGGTCAGCACTAAGAGCACTTACGACTCTTGTGAAGACCTGGGTTTGCTTTCCAATACACTCACACATAGCACCTCACACATGTCTGTGACTGCAGTTCCACAGGATCTGCTGGCCTCTTTGTCCTCCACAGGCACCAGGCTTGTATATGGTGCACAGAACGCCCCCCCCCCAACTCAGGCCCATAAAATAAAATAAATAAATTTAAAAATAAAAAAATTTGAAGGTGAGCACGGTGGCTCAGGACTTTAATCCCATTACTTGGGAGGCCAGCCAGGGCTGCATAGTGAGGTACTGTCTCAAACAAATGCACAAAAGAAGTACTCAAGGATACATGTGTGAGTGCTAATGCTTATATTATTCGTAACAGCATAGTTAACACTTCCGTGTCATCAGTACCGTTGGGAACTGTTCTAAAACAAGCCAGTGTTAGGTCCCAGGATCCTTAAACAATTCTCAGACGTTAAGGTTTTTCCCCAGCAGACAACTGAGAAAGTTGTAAGACCGACAGTTCTCACAGCTAGTTAAATGGCTTGGAGACCATGCTTTTAACACTTACATTGTATTGATACCAACATACACATTGTACTACAAAGCTAGCAAGATACAGGAAGGAGTTTAGCTACCAAGAGAGAACTGTTTTGTTTTAGTTT